CAACGTCAGCCCAATTGCCATGTTTTCTTGTTTTAATATCCTTAGTTGTCATGATATATTTTAATATCTATATTATAATCAATAATAAATGTATTAAGTATTAACTTCTTTCTTACGTTACTAACACTAGCATTAAGTATTATTATATGTATTAGTTGAAGACGTGGCTTATATATTTTTATCAATTTGTTTAATACAGTCCATTCTAATTAGTTGTTATTGTTTTATTATATTGACAATACCGCAAATTTCCGTTATTCGTGTTTAAGTAAAACAGTTTTGGCACTAGGTATAAAATACTCGATAAATACACAAAATCGGGTAATTGCGCTAACAGAGAGGACATGTTATATACCTAGTATATAAAATATACACTCTCGTTTACAGAGAAAATTAAGATTTCTAGAGAAATTAAATAACGTTAGTGTAACGTACAACTATAATTATAATGTTTTCCCACAGCAGGCGATATATCGTTACACGACCACTCCAATATAAAGTGCCGTGCAAATGCAAACTCAACTTGATCTAGGCGACGCACTTGATACCATAGTCATTTTTCTATATGTCTAGTTATACAATCGGAAGTCCACCAATTAATCAATCTCTTGCAGATATCCTCTAACATTGAGGTTATGGACAAAATAACAAATGAAACCACAGCAAGCTCAATTATATACTAGGAGATTCATCGAGCATGCTTTAACTCCATTCTTCCACCGTTAACAATTTATTTATATAAATCTAATTACTGTAAATTTTCATTGTACCTACTTATAAAGATAATTATTATTATTATTAAACTTTTAAGTCATTTTAGTAGAATCATATGATTTAATATAAACATAAATAAACATAAAAACTCCATTTTTTAGATTTTGAATGGAAAGAATGTAATTTATGTGTAATATGTGTATACTGTAATGATTCGTGTTTTTATATATTAGACATCAATTATCAATTTTTAAAGTGATATCTTATAGTATAATTAGATCTAGTTTTACTTTATAAAAATCATAATTAAAAATTATAAGATATTTAACATTTTCAACAAATGTTTGTGTTAGCATTTCTCGCGCATAGCATAATTTTAAAAATATTTTGGCTCTTTTTGAGTTACTTTTAGACATTTTAAATTTTCCTTTTTTTTTTATACAAGTCAATAAAGATTAAGGAAAAAAAATGATTGAAAATTGAATACAAAGTATCTTATATATTATTCATTTACAAATTAAAAAATATCAAAAATTATTGGTCACAATTTTTTTTATAGGTGTTTAAATTCAGAATTTCGACGTAAAATCAAACTAAAATTAATATTATTTTGTAGAAATTTATAAGTTTTTTACCTATAATATAAAAAAGCTTACCGAAATGTTACATTATTTTTTATGAGCCATTAAGTTTAAATTATTACAATATTAAGTATTCACTTACAAAATAAATGAATAAATAAATTTGCTTCTCAAACGATTTTTGATACTTTATTATATTTAAAAACGAATAACTTTTGATCTTGATAATTTTACCAAATTTTTATATGATCATTTTTCTATATATTAAAACACTAGGTATTTAAAATATTTTAAGTCTTTTTTGACATATTTATAAATATTTTCAATTTTCAATTTTTTTTTTTTAATTTTTTTTTTAAATTTTTTGATAAAAAATCTTTCACTTGGTCATAAAGCTTTATACAAGATCCCACATAAGTTGTTCTTATAAATATGTTAAAATATTTAAAATACATAAACGCAATTTATTTTTATAAACATTTTAAATTCAAATATTGATAAAATTCGTTGGAACCACGAAGAAAATTTACAAATTACAGTTGAAAATTTAATACAAAGTTCCTCACAAGTAATTCATTCTGAATAAAAAAACTGAAAAATATTCATATAAACGTAATAATTTTTATTTAGAAACATAGTAAGTTCAAATTTGAATGAAATTATTTATTTAAAGTTTAAATTATGAATAAAAATATTCATTGTTTTGTTAAAACTTGATAAAATTCTTCATGATCATTTAAAAAACATAACATGGAATATACTTAGCTATATAGGTTGATAGATCGTCTCTGCTCACAATTGTTCTTCGTACACAATGATAGAATTCAAATTTAACTCATCCATTACAGTGACCCACTCTACACTTAATGAAGAACAATACCCACTTTCTCACCTTTTTTTAATTAATTACCATCCATTTTTATTAAAAACTGTTAAAAAATCTTTTATTTTTGAAAATGTTGATTTATCATTTTAAATTTGTACCAATAGCTTCTGAGTTATGTATTAGAGATTATAATAGTTCATTATAGATGAAGATTAATTTTAAAATATGATAATTAATAATTAATGTTAGTCCATTAACATTTTAAACAATTTAAAATTATCTATTTAATGAGTGTTAGACTAAATTTCTGTATATTGCTTTTATATTAGAATGTATGTAAAATCGGGTTTTCAATTCTTGGTACAAAAATTTTAATTATCAATTTTAATTTATATTTATCAGCAGCATATTTTAATTACATAATTTAAAAAAAGTGTTTCTCACTAAAAAGTTGCATTATCACAGGAAACAGCTTTATGATAATATCTACAAAAAATTTAAAGACTTGATAATATCGTCATTGAGAATACTTAAAAATTTAAGAAACTCAAAATTTGAGTGAGCTCATAATTAAAAAGATAAAAGGGAGAAAGATAAACATATTTGGTGAATCATTCTATATACAAAATAAACACCTCGGGCGACATTGTAACGGTTTTCAGTGATAAATCTACGTAGTGGTATTATTCATAATTATGCGTATTTCTGGATTACCCAAACACCTGTATCTGATAGCATATTTGCTGTTAAGAAAGGCAAAAACCCTCTCCCCTGAAGTTTGTCGGGATAAAGCACACTACATTCAAAATTATATTTCTAATGAGAAGTACCTATATCTGTTTGGAGCTAAAACACTCCAAGAATTTCGATATTAGTTGTGTCTTAAGTACATTTCTTTAAAAAAAAACTCCTAATCATAATTATCGAATAAACATCATATATAAAATCCCAGAAACGTCCAATGAATTAAAATATATTAAAACACTATATTATATTTAATTATTATAAATCACATTAATTTAATATTGTATTCCGCACACAGATCATTCACAGTTAGCTGTACCAATAATAAAATTTTACAATTTTAAATTACATGATTTAGCGTTAATTTTTCAAATCAATTATTATTACCTCTGATATACACATTCAAATTTTACAGTCCAGACTCCAGATAGTGAGCTAAATGTTAATACATACCGTCGCAAGTACCTATTATAAATTTTGACCTAATTTAAATTCTATAACAATACAACTAAGATATATCTGAAAATAGGTTATAACTTTATAATAATAATTCAACATTTTAAAACTACAAAATTTATTTTAAATCAAACTAAAAGGCTAAGTTTAATTTCCAATTATATATTGTAGTTACCGTTCATGGAATGTATATTGTATGACTTCACCAATCACAATTCTTACTAATATAAGTTATGTACTTATATCTTGGCATACAGCACAGTATTCGAATTTTCTTTTCTATACATTTGTTTTTAAATTAATTTGATGTAGATCGATATCACATAAAATTTTGTTGAAGCCTAAAAAGTATAAAAATGAAATATCCACTACAATACAAGTAGTAATGTAGCATGGCATTTAATAACGATTTGCAATATGATTGAGGTCGAAAACTGATGTAGATATAAATTATTCCAAAAATAAATAATAAGTAATATTGGTGTTATTATATTATATTATACTATACTGAATTAATGATTCGCTAGCATGATGTTAAACCACATTTTAGATTCTGAGTGGAACGATGAATGTATTGATTTTACAATGATGTAATTTTTTTGTCCGTAAACATTATATGGGACAGTAAAAATATTTCAATTGTTAAAAATGGTAGTGGTTTCTAGTAAAAAATTGGATCTAGTCGATAATCTGAGAAATCAAAAGCGAAAATTCTTAAAAGTAAATTTTATAATTGGAAAAACAAACAAAAAAAACTTAAGAAAAACGAGAATTTTTACGCAAATCCAATTTTTGACAAACCCAAATACAGTAGATTGCTACTTACTTGCATACCTTTATTTGCCTTTAATAATTTTTAAAAATTCTGATTTTTAAATTTTTAAGTATATTTAAGAATAACAAAAACGCTTAGTTTCTATGCCATTTAAAAAGTGTTAAGCGACAATATATATTTTTCTGTTTTCTATAGAGCAATAAGCATTTTTACTTCAATTACTAAGCAAATAATTTTTTTTTTATATTTACACGCGAAATTTTAAATATTAGTTTTTATGTTATTATACAGTTTATAGACAAGGAGAATAGTAATTATTAACAATTTTACAAAAAATATGTAACATTTTAATCAAATAAATACATTTTATACCTAGAATTTTTTTACAAATTATAAAATATAAGTAGATTAATAATAATTATTTTAATTTTCAAATAGTCATATTACTATTTTCCAATTAACTAAATATTCCAATATTCAAAAATATTATTTTATAAACCTATCTATCTTTAGTTACATAATTAAATAACTCAGAAACTACTCATTCAAATTTCAATTTAGATAAATCAACATTTAAATATATATATATCTGCTTATAATAATTTATAGGAAATAAGGATTATTCTCAATTGAAAAAAGAAGTGTTTATCGATTTAGGATACTTCTTAAATGGTTTTAAAAATCTAAGTATTTTAAAATATGATCTTTAAGTAGATAAACTTTATAATTTTAAAAATCAGTATTTGTTTAATATATTAATTATTAGAAGAAAAATAAGAATGAACATTCTATGATGAGTCTCTGTGTATAATGTAATTAGTGTTTATAAATCATTACACTCGAGCTACGTATGAGATCATATTGTAATATGTCGAAACCATAAAAAAATATTTATTCTTCCCAGGTAATTACAGTTGTCTAGTGGCCCAGTTCTATCTGAGCCGTAGCGTGGGCTTCCATTTGGTTCAGAGTTACCTACCCACCATGCTAATCGTAGTAATCTCCTGGGTGTCATTTTGGATGGACGTCGACTCGGTACCGGGTCGCACCACACTGGGAGTGACAACGCTGCTGGCTGTTGGTTCGCAATCTTCAGGTATGTAATAGTAAACTTGACTACATATAATAATATTATTATTATTCGAATAATTATCCAATGTCATGTCAATATCCAGTTTCCATTTTGCTAATATTTTTTCCAACCCACGCGTATTTTACACAGGTATCCAAAGCGGTCTACCACAAGTCAGCTACGTCAAGGCCATAGATGTGTGGATGGGCACGTGTACAGGTACGAAAAAATATAGTTTAACAGTGTGTAAACATGGGCACCACACAGATAAACATTATAAATTTATTCACCTAACACTATTTAAAGGTATCTAAGAATTTATTTATTTAATTAATATAATATGCAGAACTCAACCTCCCGAGAGTTAGGTGCAATAATTAATTTATCTTATTAGTACGTATTATTAATAATAAAATCTATAAAAAAAAAAAACATTTCAAATTATAAACTACCATTGTTTAAATATAAACTTGTTCCTTACAACAAAAATTATTTGCTCCTGATATTTTCCATCTTTGTTGTAATTATCATAAAAGGATACCACAAGCCATGACTATCATGAACATTTTTAAATTTTAAATATTGTATTAATTTTGTAAGAATTCACAAAATAATGTCCTTAATCAGCAAATGTGGTCATGGTGTAAGATATTAGTAGGTATAATAATACATAGGTACATATCTTAATATACTAGTTATAGACATCGATATTAATAATTAATACCTTACAATTTGTTATATACTTATAATCTAATAATCTACATCCTCCAAAAATGATATCATTACTATTACACAATATGTATGTTTACAGCGTTCGTGTTTTGCGCATTGCTAGAATTCACGGTGGTTAATTATATGTGGAGAAAACTGAGACCAGACATATTAAGAAATATATTAACGGAACCGGTGAACGGTGGCACCGCAGGCCCAAAACCGTACGATGAAAATCTACCTTCATCGCCGGTCATACCAGTCAGCGTGGTAATGACAGTTCAACAAATCGTTGATCAAACGTATTATACATCAATGTATTATTAAAATGGTCGATGTGATCTATGAGGCTATAAAATTCATCATTTCCACTAAAATATTATTATAACATAAATCTCGATTGTAGAAAAGGACGACTGATTTACATCCCGTTTCCGTCTTGAATAACACATTTCTTCGTGCATTTTATTTTTAATAAGTATTTTCTAAATAATTCATGTAATATGGGTTTTAGCTTTATAGGTAAATACCTATAATAAGTATATACCTACTACATTAATATTAACTTATAAAAAAAATTTATTTTGCATTGGTACTCAACAAAAACAGAATGCATTAATTTTAAAACACAATCCCTTCACACTTTTTAAAACATAAAAAAAGAAAAAAAAATTCTAACTACAGAATGTAAATTAATATGAAGTCTAACTTAAAGGATAAAAAATCAGAGCTTTTTACGGTTGACAAGTGGGCGTTGTACTCTATTACAAGCCCCTTAATAGTTTTAACTGGAACGAGCGTTATTTATCGTTCACCTTCAGTCGACACGACGTTTTTACCCGTCGCTATTTATCTAATTTAGTTTTCATGTATATATGTGTATATATATATCATATTATGGTATGTTCTGTTGGCAGGTTAAGAAAATCTTACAACAAGAGTGTGCCTACTCTACGTCCGCAGAAACTAACACAGTGCTGGCAAGAAAAATTGACGAATACTCCAGACTACTATTTCCGGTCGCGTTCATAGCGTTCAACGCACTGTATTGGCCGTATTATTTACAAAACTAAACCGCTCCCACACCGCCGCCGATGCCACATCAACACCGAAAAAACAGAACACGCGACCAGACTGCGTATATAATGTGCCTACGTATATACCACTCCACAAAATATTTATTCATTACACTTGCATAATAACTATAATAATCATAATATTTTACATAATCATAGCAGCTCTCCATGTATTTTCCCTCGACGAAATCTTACCTAAAAAAATAATTAAATAGGCCACGCTACTTCAAGTATAGCTCAATGGAGGTACTTACAAACAGCGGAATTTCGATATATCTTGCTACGGTATAATGTGTCTACCAAGCTATATTAAATAATATACCATGATATAATATACCACGTGGTACAATATCGTCAAACGCGTCATGTAGAAGGCGTCGTCGTTAAGTGATTTGGAATCTTGCCCTACTCGTACGTTTTTGTTTTTTTTTCTTTTTTTATTTTAAACGTTCAATATTTTTTTTGTCTTGATAAATACAACAGATATTTGCCGAAACCCCTTCGTTACACTTATTATCACCTTAATTCACTCAATAAATCGCGTGGTTCTTGCCCTATAGATATATATTACTAAATTTATACATCCACAAACCGCGAAATCTACAATTATACAACGCAGTTTATTAGCTCTTATAACACGTATTTTATTCAAACCATGATTTTTTTAATTTAGTTATATAATAAAGACAATATTTACAAATATTCAGATTTTGAGGAGAATTGTGAATAAAAACTATTTTTTCAAATTTAAACTTACCTTTTTAATGTAAATAGTTAAACAGGTGATTTCTTATGTCATAATATTCGTATTTAGACGAAATTAAAACTAGGTTATAGTGTTCCATTATTCAACTTATTACATAAACTAAGAATTATATACCTATAAATAGGTGCATGATTATAGGTTTGGAAGATTGGCTATAATAAATTTAATGATTAATAATATATATTTAAATAAATTCATTAACATTTTATATAATTTATTAAAATTCTCCTAATCTAACATAAATACTAAACCATATATTATTATATTCGATGTAAAACCATTATTAAAGACTATTATTCTAAGTCATTAATTTTAATAACTCAGAAACTACTGATTTAAATTTCAATATTTTCAAAATAATGTTCTACTCAAACAATATTTACCATAAAATGTGGTCTAAAATAAGTATTTAAAAAAATATAGTGGTCTTTTAATATACTAATTAATTCAAAAATCAGAATTTGAATAAATACATCGTTTAAGGAAAAAAAACAATAGTGAGCATGCTTGGTTAATTACTCTCTGTGTAATATACAATATACACCGAAAAACAGTAATCCACAGACTATCCCTTGAATTATACTGCTTAAACACATATATGTACCACCACTCTAGTTTTTTTCCTCTTTTGTTTTTTTCTCTTATTTTAATTTTCGGTCCTACCACATCTCGTATAATACGAGAAAAATAGAATACGCCTTAAGTACTAAGGTGGTTCTCTAGTTGTTCTCAATACAATAATTTTCTCAGTTGACATGAGTGTTTTTAAATTTATTCTTTTGCATGAACAATTTGAAATTACTTTCTTGAAAAAAAATTATTTAAAAAAATAGAAATCTACCAGAAAAGTTACTGTGTAATGGTGATAAAGGATTCGCTCTGTTTATCCATGCGGTACCAAATTACTATACACGCCAAATCGAATTATACCGCAATAATAACGAAATTGTTATGGTAATTATCATAGTTTGCATCTTTATATCTTTTTCTAACAATAATAACTTAGTCCGTAAACATAAAAATTTTAATCTCTTTCAATCCTTGTCGTTTGTTTGTTACGCGTTTTAATTTACACATATAAAAATTCATCTCATGTATCGTCCGTCCTCTTACATAAATTCTATTTCATCCAGTCACTTTTGAACCAGAAGCAAAAGTTTTAACACAAATTACATTAATTTTAACATTTAGTATCCATTACTTTTATCATAATTAATTATACATTTCACTGTAAATATAAATACACTTATTTATACATTTAATATTATATTAAAATAAGCTACCCTGTAACACATATTTTATACGTTTTTATTTTTGTTTTGAATCTTGAAACTAAAATATTTTTCAAGAACTAACCATCCCTATTAAACATATTGATTAAAAATATTATTTTATGACTAATATATAATAAAAATTATAATTATAATACGGATTTTAAAATACTCAACGCTATACAAAAAATTATTTAAAATAATACAATAAAGCTCTAAATATCATTTAACACAACTAAAAAAAATAATATAAAATGGGTTTAAAAAAAAAAAATGTTATTAATATTACTTTTATTCTAATTTTTCTTTTAGTGGTGAATATCTGTAAACGTAATAAACTGTTTTAAATCATTCAAAAAATCATTGAAATAATAATACTAAAAAATGTACCTAATATTTTAAATATTCGTTTTCAAACAAAATTCTTCGTTAACTAATGTAGTATAATTTCAATTTTATTTAAAAATTTTAAAACATTAAAACTATAAGTATATTTTTAAATAACTAGTACTGTAAAATTTATTAAATATTTATAAATGTAGTAAAAATAACAAAAAGCATAAAATCTACAGTTAACGAAAACAAAACAAACAAATTATGTACATTTATTCTACATTATATGAATCATATAGTAAGATGATAAATTTTGCTATGAAATGGTAGAAAAAAACAAATGTCATTAAAATCCTTACTTTAATTATAATGCTATATTTACACATTATTTTAAATGTTCTCCTTTTTAAAACGGAAGTTACGCATTACCACAACGATATGGTCCACAATTCTTGATATTTTACCTAATTTTTTGAGTATGTTTTTGTTAATTTTTAATACAACTCACCTAAATATATTTAATAAAAATTAGGATAATTGAGTAACTGTGTAATATATATATTAAAAATAACCGTTAACGTTATATTTTTTTTTCAAATGTTATCCCTTTTATACTTAACCATTGTAATTCATTGTTTTTCAATACTTTTACCTATTGAGTGTTAGTTCATAATATTATGACATTTAATTCAATCCGTATTCTATAAACAACAAGTTATAATTTTACTAAAAAATCTAACCATTCCAAATTTAAATATTGAAACCTTTAGAATACAATATTATAACTTTACTTAACAACCTAATAGGTAAATATTCATAGCGGTAGTAATGGAGGAATATAGTTCAATCTTTAAAACCTTTTTTTTGTGTATAAAAACGAGTATAAATGTGAATAAAATTAAATCGTTTTTAAAAATATTTTTATTTATAAAGATACCAATTATTATAATATTATACATACATTATATATTTTATCATGTGGTCCAAGATACTATATTAATAACATAATCTCATCTCTACATTATTTTTTTTTTTTTAATAAAATACGATTTTAATCTACTCTCGATGGACGGAATCCGGCTATAAGCGACCGGCGCAGAGAGTATAATATAATGTTCAATATAATATGAATTATAATATTATATAATTTTGATGTAGAGTCTTAAAGTTGTAATATCTTTGTGTACTGCTTCCAATGTGCAATTTTGATAACGTTCTTCATTAGGATAAGTTAGATTAAGTCCTAACATTAAATCCACATAATAAACAGATACATTCTAGAAATCCATACTAGAAAATAGTGTAGACAAGTTCGACGCCTTATTGTCACCGCTGTCGGTAGTGGACAATTGAACGTCTGAACGAAACAAATATTATCATTATATATCTCTATAGTAATGAAATGAAGAACGATTATACACTTGAAAACGATGTTGAAAGAATTGAGCGATAAAACGATCCCCATACGCGTTATGTCGGCCGGACCAAAATTCCAAAACCATTCCAAATCAGAATTTTTGTGAATCTTATAATAAATATTGTATATAAAATGTAATTTTTAAATTTAATTCATACATTCAATATTATATACGAAGTGATTTTTTCCAATGTAATCAACTCATTTTATCTTATAAATTTCATGTTTTTTTTTTTTTTTTAATTGTATACTTGAAATATTACTTTACAACACTATGAAAGTGATTTCTAGTATTTTTAATTAGTTTTTAAATATGTACGAGCTACAAACCTTTATTTTTAATTTTGTATAATCTTTTAAATTAACGCAAATTTTTGAGTCAAAATCCCGTGCTTTTATTTTATAGATATTTGGTAGGTATACCGTATACACTATAGGTACTATAGACAGTAAAATTATTCCAAAAATATCCTTTTATCTCCATAAAATTTTTAAAAAAACGTATAACAAAAAATAAATAACTTCAAATTTGATTGTTTTTTTAAATTATAAACACAAACTAATAAAATGATAATATATTTCGTTTAAAAAAATTACTTCGTATACACCGTGCAGGGTGCATCACGATTGGGATACGCAACCTTTAATATGTGATTTCAATGTAAAAAAATTGAGATCTTGGTTATACGCCCTATTTTATAAATTTATTATAATAATATGTGAATGGTACGAATGGCTATCATCTATAATTTATTATGTGTTAAATTTAATACTGTAGTTAGTTATTTATGACAATTATGCGTCTAAACGGTTTTAAAAAAATATATTATAAAAATGTATTTATTAATTATTTTATGTTATTCTATATTATGTATTAAATTAAAATCTATTTTATTGGCTAAATATTATTGAATTTATTATATTATATCAATATTACCTTTATTTATATATATATATATATACATATATATAATAAATATGCGTTGTAAATATTATGATACTAACTTTTCAGTGAAAACCATTTCATGTTATTCTTTTCACTAGATCCTATAAAAATATATTTTTACCCCACAAAACTAATACAAATTTTCAATTTCATTAATACATATTGTATTATATAGCGTATAATCCTCTATGTCAAGAATAAGGAACCTGTGGCTTCTTAACATGTAACCTGTAGTTCTTTGGGAAATACATCAATATCTAGACGTTTTAGATCCATAAAATATAAACTAAAATTCGATTACGATTTATATATATATATAATGGTTTAATTATGTCATACTCGTATTTATTTTTATAATTTCAGGTAAAAAAAATAATATTTTAATTATTATGACCGCATAATTATGTTTAACGTGTTTAAAGAAATAATACAGCAATAAATAAATATCTATTTAACTCGATAATCATTATTCTGTAAAATATGAAGTAAATATATTAGTCAATACGTAAACACGGTCTTCGCCAGGTCAATCGGTGTGGCGCAATTCGGTTTTTTTCTATCAACTTATCACCGTATTACAACATAGCAATATTTTCGACGAGATGTCTACTAAAATAAGCATAAAATTAAATAGGAAAATAAAAGATTTAAAAATGATAATTTTGTCTAAAACACTATGGGACTACCAAGATATCTTATTTGCAACAAAAACTTCAAATGCAATAAGAAATCCAAAATTGAACGTTATTTTTTTTTTTTTATCTAATTTATAATAAAATTATGATTCTTTAAATAAGACATACCCAGCTAAAAATCAAAGAAAAATGGCAGTACAATTACAAATACAATTGAATTTTACTATAGATTTGACTGCATATCTAAATCACTTAAATTAAAAGTTTCAAGGTAAGGATAATACAGTACATGAGCTATTAGAAATCATTCTTTCTTTCGAAAGATACTTTCAACTTTTAGCAGACGATAATATTGGCAGCAGAAATCTTGATCTTTTTGAATCATTGAAAGAATACACAGAAATCAAGGGTTGTATTATTTAACTGAAATATTTTAAATAAGCCATTAAATTCATAAAAAAAACACGTTTGGTATGTAATTTGAATATTTTCGAAAATATAAAACCACGTTAATGTTTTTGACATCACCACTCACAACAAAAACTACACAAATTACATTACTACCATTTGTCAACAAACAATTATTTTCATTGCAATAAATAAAATTAAAAATCAAAAAACCTTTGGTCTTCAAAATTTGAAGTTTTTAAAATAAATATTGAAAATCTAGAAAGGGAAAATGAGTCTTAACCACCTACCTTGCGCAACTACAACGGTAGTTGAACAGCATTTTAACAAGACCAAACAAACATTTTCACAATACAAGTACATATAAAAAACACCTTCCAATCACACTGTAATATATTATCTCAAAATAGAATCAAAAATTCAGAAAATGTCCTCAATTCTCTTCTACCAGTGTCACTTCCTCCTCAATATTTTTCACCCGGAGAAATGGATTTTCAAATAAAAAAAAAATCCCCTAAAATAATCATTAAGTTTTGCCTTAATAATTAAACACTTACTTAAGAAAACTATCAATTTTTTTACCCAAATATTTGATTTTATAATTAGAATTTCTTACTTCCCTATCTTATGGAAATACTCAACCTTAATTCTCATCCTAAAGTCAAATAAACCACCAAACTTCCTATCATACAGACCTATTAAAATCCTCCTAATTCTATCAATAATTTTTGAAAAATTATTATTAAAATGTATCTTATCTATAGTTAATTATGCAAATATCTTACCTAACTCCTACCTATTTGGATTTCGTAATAATCATTCTACCATACATCAAGAACATAGGCTGGTTTATAAAATCGCATTTGCACTAGAAGAGAAACTTTATTGTACTGGTGCTTCCTTAATATCTCCCAAGCATTTGACAGGATATTGCATGCAAGTTTACTTTACAAGTTATAACATACATATACTACCCAGCTACTACTATTTAATTTTAAAATCCTACTTAAAGGACCGATTTTTTACAGTGCGTGTAGGTTCCGCAACTTCCTCTCCAACAAGAATTAATACTGGTATACCTCAAGGCGCAGTTACCGCCCCTCTACTTTTCACCATATTCATCTTTGATCAGTCAAACTCAAACCAAACCCTTGTTGGTGACTTTTCCGATTACAAAACTATCATAGTTGCCAATTCAAATCCTTATCTAGCCTCCCTCTAAGTTCATAATCACCTCAACCTTCTTAAAACCTGGTATAAAGAATAGATAGTTAAAATAAACGAGACAAGTCTATCCACTGTACCTTCACTCTCCGACAACTATTTTAAGAGATAAATAATAATTTTTAAATCTGATAAAAATCATCAAATATTTGAGTTTTTATAGGGAGGCATGATCGTCAACATTCTTTTTTAAGTTAGTGTGGATAGTCTAATAGTGGATATAGGCATTAGGCACCTTAACTTTACCTTATATTTAGTCTTAACTAACATCCTAACCTAGCTCTACAATAACTCTATTGTTTGAGTATGAGTTCCACTATTTTAATTAAAAAAATTGTTATTATGATTTACCAACAGTTTGATAATTAATAATTTTTTTATACCATTAATTCAAAACATATTCGCTCGTAAAAAAATAACAAAAAAAATTCACAAAAAACAAAATGACACGAATAAACGTTAAATAGCTTCTGAATGTCTAATGATATTTTAAAAATACAATGCAAACTAAAATCCATATTATATCAATGTTATATTAAAGTATTATAAATTAATATTTAGGCATATAGCGTAAAACAGATATTTATTATCAGTAGATCACACATCGGACCTGTACTTTCAAGTTATTTCAAATTATAATAATTATTTTGTTTAATGTAACCAATAGACAATGGCAATCCTAAGAAAAAAATGCATTTTTCACGAACAGCAAATATTTATGTAACTACACGCCCTATTTACGAGTACTACATAAATCATTTTAAAAGTTGGTTTTAACTATTTCTAATAAGCATAGGTAGGTATCCTCTGGAATAAAATTATCTATGTATCGAATTTCTGAATAATAAGTGTGATAGACTTTACCGTGGATCGTTTACATACACATTGTCTTTTATTTGTATATTTTTATACAAGTAGTCACCGGTTGGTAATAAATTGATTAAATAATAATTGTTCAATATTTAAATTAATAAAGTATTTCTAAAAATTACGATTATATTCTTATTTAGGTACATATAACCGAGTAGATAACCGTATTAAAATACTATTGCCCATGAACATCTCCACCATTAATCAGACTTAATATGATAAATTAATAAAAGTACTATAATAATATCGTACACTTTTATAGACATGTTATAATATGTTATGAATTGGTTCTTTATTTACTCATATGATTATTTACAAATTGATGCATAATGTACCTACTTAACAAAACAAATATTTATAGGTAACTTTTTTTCATCAAAAACTGTTTAATTGCAATTAAGAAAATTTTAAACGTATATTTTATGTTATCCCGAATATTCCAATAGGTACCTACCTAAGAAAAAAATATGTTTTAAAATTAGAGGTGTAAGTACACAAATCAGCCATTTTTAAAAGACAATTTTAAACACTGTAAATTTATAATCTATTTTGTTCTATAAGTCTGTAACCAAAGGACGTACTATAGTCTATAGAGTTTATATTTAAAGCGAAATGTTGCAGTGGTGATGAAAGAAAACGGTTAACTAACTATTTACTGAGACGATATAAAGTTTGTAGGTACATCGTCTAAACGATCATTATTGCCAGGGATGCCAGAAACACTAAACCGTTAAAAAAGTCAGTATAGGAGCAAACATTTTAATGAACATTAAATAGTATATAACCATCGCCAAAAACATTTTTAATAAACTATTTGCGTTCAATGCCTCCACAAAAACGCACTTTTAATTTAAGGTTCATATTCGGGGCATGATAATATTATTATCTAAAACCGTACCTATACAGAATATAATTATTGATAACAAATGTCTACAATGTTTAACAATATTAATAATATTATAATATAATCATTATGCTTTACATTCATTACAACTCACAACAAATTTATTGAAATAAGAATGTTTTTCGTGATTTTTCTCATACATAGCAATGTAATATTATGATTATTATAATTATTCTGCGCCCTTATCATTACTTCGTCTGTTATCACTTATATATCTTGTATAAATAATTTTTTTTAAATAAAGACTAATGTTTCAATCAGTTAATAATGTTAATATTTATATTTTATTATTTATAAAATTTATGTAAGCCATATTACTTCATATTTTATTTATTTTTCAAAGGTTTTATAATATAAATTAACGTTAAATTAGTGTTTATAATAAAATGAACAGTAATTTATTCAAACTAGGCGGTTTCAAGATTCGCAAAAATTTACTCGTTGTGTTAGGAAAATCAATCTCACATTCAGCTGTTTCATTGAAAAATAAATGCGGTTCTAAAGGTCCTCCTTGGCGCATTATGTTTTTTGGCAATGATGATTTTTCGGTCAAAAGTCTCCAAATGTTAACATCCAAAATGTAATCATATTAATTTAGTGTACAGTGATAATTATTTTAATTGTCAAGATGAATTTTTATAGGAGAACACAAACTATTATTTCTAAGGTAGATGTTGTTACAACTTCCACAGGCAATGGTATAAATGTCAGAAATTTTGCAAAAGAAGAAAAATTAGACATATATGATTGGCCTATTAATACAACAATATTGGATGGAAAATATGATATTGGAGTGGTTGTATCTTTTGGACGATTAATACCAGAGAAAATTATAAAATGTTTTCCACTGTAAGAATGCAATATAATTTAAAAACAGTATTAAATATAATTTTATTTCAATCAATTAACAAAATATAGGAATTATTTACATTTATTATAAAATATTCTAGAAATGTGGCATGGTATTGTTTTTGACCACAGTCATTAAATAGTGCTGCAATTAAACATAATCTGGCCTTATTAGCTCTTAGATAGGTGACCACCTTAGTTCTTAGTAATGAATTCTTGTTTCACATATAAAAATATGTATTCTAAAACTCTACCTTACCACTTTCTACAAATAACGAAACATAAAAAACCATTGCTAATGACCTGAATTGTTGAAACTTAACCGAAAAAATAATACATTTTGATTACTTTTGAAGAATTAAGTTTTTTTTGTAATTTAAATACTATTTTTATAAATCCATAAACAGAAATAAAACTTCCACCATGCCTTAATTAAATCATTAAGACTTTGTATTTTAATAAGTATTGTATTAATTTGATTTCAGAGGAATGATCAATGTACATGCTAGTCTTTTGCCCAGATGGCGAGGAGCTGCACCTATAGTATATACTATACTTAACGGTGATTTAACATCTGGAGTAACAATAATGAAAATTCATCCTCGTAGGTAAATTTACTAATTATTAAATGGTATATAGTATAATATAATATGTTTATTTGTATTATGCAATATGTCACAAAAGTCCCATATCATCTAAATTCAATGTTTTCATGACAAATCAATATATTAAAATACTGTTTTTTAAACAGTCATCTATAAGAAATGTATGTGATTAAATTTGAATTTTCTTTGATTACTGTTGACAAAACCTCATTTATAATTTAAAATACATAAACATAACTATTTTATTTATTTATTAGTTGTTATATTCAATTTAAGGTTTGATATTGGTGAAATTGTTAAACAGCATAGTTGTTCAGTTGATAAAGATGAAACAGCTGATGAACTAAAAAAGAAACTATCAAATATGGGTGGAAGTTTGTTAATTGATTCATTTAAAGAATTAAAAAGGAATTTAAGATACGCAATACCACAATCTGAAAATGGGATAACATACGGTAAAATATAATAGATATTTCTACAGTTATTAAGACTTTTCAAAATTTATTTCATACACTAAAAATAATTAAGTATTTTTTATAATATTTGACATGATTATCTACATAGGATAACATATGCTTTAGTCTGTCCAGCGAGAAAATGCACTGCTTCTGCGCATGTAGACTAACAACCGCAGAGCTGGTCCTAATGAGCACACTAGGCTGGGTACGCGCAGGGATACACAAAACCGTACCAATTTTGGTTGGCGCATTCTTTCGCTGGACAGACTATACATTATCCACAACCTTGGTGAACAAATAGTGCTAACAGTTAGGATGTATATTTCTGTATTTATGTAATTATTATACATGCACTGTGGTATATTGTACTAAAAATTAAATTTTTTACAAACTGTTAAGTCATAACAGCACATTATTATTTTATGATGCATTTAATCTTATATGCATGAATACTATATATTATATACTATACAATAAACACTATATAATACTTAATGCATTTGATTTCAAGTTTATAAAGTTAGTAGGTATCACAAAACAGATAAAATAAATAAATTTCTTCTATGCTTAGAATTTATATTATGCTATGAATGCATAACTTCTAACAGTCATATAGGTATTTAGAAATCTGCATCTCAAGGTTAAATCAAATATTTATAAATTTAAAAAAATAACAAACATATATATTTAAGAAGTATAATTAAAAATGAATAAAATATATAAATATATTTGAATAATTATTGAAATACAAGCTATGGAAACTACCTATTTACTTTCCTATTAACTGGAAACCTCCAGTTTTTAAAAGTTATACTTTTAAGTTAAGGTAGTTCCCATTACCTCAAATGCAATACCATTAATTATTATATTACAATTTATTATACTTTGACAATTACTTATTACCACTTCTACTTTATTAACATAAACTTACTAAAAATAAAAATGTGTTTAGATTATTCTTTTAATTTACATGACTATAAACCTACCTTTAAGTATTCTTTCACAAGTATTTAAACCTTAAAAGTCTATTTAATAATTTCTTTACTTGTTTATTTAAGTGATCAGTAATACGGAATTTAGCCTAGAAAAATTTTAAAGTAAATATAAATATAAATTCATATTGTGTTCTTAACTACAATGATACTTACTTTTATCCTGAAATGTTTTTTGATTAAATTAAATACATATTCTAAGTAGTAAAATATCTTAAATCAAAATTTAAAAATAATTGTTCAGAAATTCAGAATATATATTTTTAAATAACTAGCGAAACAAAGTAAAATGTATTATATTATAAATGTCTTAAAAATTTTAAGCATTTAAATTCAAAGTATATTGTAGATATATAAAATAATTTAGCAACTTAAAAACTCTTTGAAACTTTTGAAAACCACAATTTTTCTTGTTAAAAAAACTTATATAGTACATTTTTAGATTATAATTAATTTAATTATACATTTTATAGTAATATATTCTACATAATTAAATATTATTAGTCCTTACAATTACATCCACTGCATAGATCATATTTATTTGTGGGCAGCATACTAACTTGTGATGATAACCATGGTAGTATTGTATATTAATGTCTATTAAAAAAGATCATTGTTTATTTGTTTAATTATTATGATCTAATTTAAAATTTGCGTAAAAAAATTAAAGTATTATTAAAAATCAGTAACATGTACATTTTACACATTATACACGTAAATTACTAAAGTATTTAAGTGTTTATTTTTTTTTTAAATATTTAAAAATAAAATTTTTTAAATCCATCTTGAATTTATTATTCAAAATTTTAAATTTAAACATTATCTAAGAATATTATGAACATTTTACCAGATTTATTTGTTTTTAAAGCTAATAATACACAAATAACATAGTTTTACATTAATTTATATATATTTATGTGTGTGTATATGTGTATATATCTTCATAACTATTTTATATGATTTTAAATTAAATATTTAATTGTTGATTTGATATTAATGTTATAGCACCAAAAGTGGACAAAAATCTATCTATTATTAATTGGGATTTAATGGATTCGAATTCAGTTTATAACAGATATCGAGCATTATGTGGTTTGTGGCCATTAATAACCATTTGGCACGGGACATCTATAAAGCTATTTAAAGTATGCAATTATCATATGATAAATATAGATACTCAATTAAATCCAGGAGATTTAATGTATGATAAGCGAAAACAAAAATTAACTGTTAAATGTGGCGGAAAAGGAGGTTTTGTGTCAATTGAAAAACTTAAAATTCCCGGACATAAAACAATGTCGGGTAAAGATTTCTTCAATGGTTTTGTTTACATGAAACCAAAAAATGAACGAAAATTTGATAGTAGATAGCAATTTGATTTAAATGTATAAATTTACAATTAAAAAATCCTATATGCTAGTAAATAGTTATTAGGATTCTATCATTGTAAAAATATATAAATGTATATTCTAGAATTTAGTTATTAATAAAAAAAATTGTTAATAAATATTGTATTTTTAATAATTTAATGAAGTTTTATTGTTTCTAAATGAAATATAATATCAGTAATACGAGTACCTACATTGAATTCTAGAAAACTTGTTTATTTTTTTGAATTGTGTTATATTACAAAAAATATATTACTTATAAATTCAAAGCAATGTTAGGAAAAAAAGTCTGCAATAAGTTCCTAGAGCCTTGCAACAAGTGACTTTTTATTTATATATATATATGATATATAATAGTGTTTTTATTAATTAAAATATTATACAAAGATTGTATGAAGAAAAATGTTTTTGCTGTTATTTTTGATTTTTTTTGTGATGAATAATTTCAGAATTTCTAAATAACTATAGTAATTATATTTATAATACAGCAACTATTGCTCAGTGTGAGAATCATATATTTTGATTTAAAGTATCAATTCTATAATTTTGTTTGTTAATTTGTTTTATTGTATCAACTTGTCTTTCAATTTCAAAATAATGAACTTCGGCATGACTATTATTATTTTTTGTCACATTTAATCTAATAATTAATATATATTACCATTAACAATATCTAATATAATAGATTAAAATGAATAAAATATTTATTTATTTTTAATCATGATTGAAAAGTGCTCTTTTGTCTCTAGTCCCTAACTACACTACTCGGGAAAAAAATATAGTTGGTAAATAGGTACTTCTCTGCTATCCATTAAATGCTGAATAGATCACTGTAATGGATATGTTAATTTTAAATTGTATAACATATTATAGACAAAAAATCATTCTGAACAAAAAATGGTCTGTCAAACTATATCATAAATTTTATTTCATGATGTTTTTTGATATAGCTGCTATTAAAGTAACTTATTTTTTAATATTACAGACACTAAGTTGATAAAAATTCTTCCGAAAATATTGTTTATATTATTAGTACTAATATTAAATCTTTTTTAAAATTTATGGCTTCAGTATGAATTACTTTTGTGGAATCTTGTATTAATTTTTCAAAATTTGAATAAAAATGAAAATTTTTATGAATTTCTAATAACAAAATAATTAAACATTTTTGTGATTTAGACAAATTTTTTAATCGATTAACACTTAAAATGGGAAATCCGCGATAGTAAGATTTATCAATAAAAAATTAAGAAAATCAAACCACTTGTTTCTAATATTTAGAAAGCTAAATAATTTTCATTATCATTACCTACCTACCTCTGAGTAATTTACTTTGTTATAAAGCATAATCGATACTACAATAAGGCATAACAGCTTTGAGGGATGACTAGAGGGTGTAGCTACGAACACTCATTAAAAAAATACTGGTTACACAAAAATATATAGTAAAAATTATATTTAGTAAGCTTAAACCATTTTTGTCGGAGTCAATATTTCTTAAAACCAGCAAAGCTGATTTTCATACTTATTCAAAACAAGAAAGAGTCTACAGAACATTTATTATAAATTTATACTGCACAACAAGTCAACAACTATAAAAATATTTAAAAAAAAATTTGTTTCTCTAAATTATATCGCGAGAAACACTAGCAATGTTCTATAATTCAACGCCAATTACTGAATTACCCACCTTTATTATTGACATTAATATGCCATGGCATACGTCCAAAGGTGAAAAAAAATGTATGCAACGAAAAAAATGCAATAATTTTAGTTATAATAAATAATATATTCCCAAATATTCATTCAAACATTTCCGAGTTGAACATTTATAATCGTAAAATTATATTTATTATATACCTACCTTTCTTATCACAAACCAATACTTACAAATATTTGTTGATATAAATAACTCTTCAGACATCTACCAAAAACCAGCAAACCAACTACCCAAATGTGCAGTGTATAAAAGAGACCATTCACTTAACTAATAGAGATGCCCCAAATAAAAAAAGAATCTAATCTACTCATCAAACTCGACTCGAAAAATCTTAGCACTCGTATGCTTTTATTTAATAAATCTCCAACTTTAATGTACCTCATTGTACCACACAATATTGTAACTCTACTTCAACCTTTCGCATTCACCGGCCTCACCACTACAAATCTTATTTTAAAACAACTAAAGTTAATAATTAATAACCAGTTCTTTCTATCTTCCCTTTCACTAATAATATCGATGAATTTTCATTCAAAATCACGTCCTTCCTCAATGATCTCAAAAATTAAATAACCCCTCAAATTGTTCTCTTAAACAGTCATCAATAAACTCCTTACTAAATCTAATGGCATCTGTAATATCTAATATGACTTTCCAAAATGATTAAATATCAAAACGTTTTAAGTTCTGAAATTGTAAGTGATGTTATTGGAAACTCTCTTTAGAGTTTAGTCCCTTCTATCAAAATAACATATCCTATACCAGTTGTACCAAGCTTTAATAAAACTTATATTTATCGTACTATGTAGGTAATAAAAAAAGTTTTCTAAAAATTCGGTTAAAATTCTACAATATACCACACTAATAATTACTCTTATATATCTAAATAAAAATATTCAAAATACATTTTTTATGTATTTAAAATCCAATTTTTTACAATTAAATTACTAAAATGAAAAAGCTACAACCATTTTTTGTAAAAATTTATAATATTTTCAATTTTTATAATTTAAATTTTAAAATTAGTACAATATTCCTCATAAGTAGTTGATACTGAAACTAAAATATTTAAAAATTATATAAACGTGGTTATATTTTATAAGACATTTTAAGTAGGTATCCATAAATTAGGACGAAATTACATACCATTTAAATGATGAACCACGATGTTAACTGTTATTTTATCATAATTCAAATACATTATTCATGGGAAATTAAGATATTATAAATTTAGCTATTACCCACAATGACATTCAGAAAATATGTACTCATTTTAAGATATTGATATATTACCTATAGGCTATAAGTTATAACTATAACCTATTTTACCTATTTATACCATGAACTCATTCACAGAGAAGAGATAAAAAAAAAATATTGTAATGTTATTTTAAACCTCGTGAAATTGATAAAATATTATTTATATCCTTGTCTTTACTAAATATATGTCACTGATGTCAGATAATAAATTATTATACAATATTTGGGAAGAATTTTTTATAAATTGTAACTATTATTAGTCTTTCGCTTCATACCGTTATTGATCAATGATCATTAGTTGTTGTTGTTATAAATTTGGATTACTAAAGACTATTTTAATAAAGTTTAGCTTATCTTCTTAAGTATTTTCGCTTATATATACAGGCAACGGTCCTAAAAATTTTCTCGAAGTACCTAATAAAGTACATCATTTTTGAAAGTAGGTACGCATTATTCATAAACTGATCTATCGCTAGTATTTCATTCACCACAAACATATACAATGGTTATGAATGTTAAATCTATTCATAGTGTTTACTAATTCGCTTCTTGAAACTCGTACAATAATAATAATTAATAAGAATTAAGAAACTTGGTAAATCGTAGTTAGCTAATTATGAAACTTTGCCTGGACGAAACGTGTCGAGTGAACTTTCCAGGCGATGTCATTTATGGAATACTCTGCATACGAGAATGCTTCGATTTCAGTCGTAAGTACTAAGTACTTAGTTTTTTTTTAGTCTTATACTCTTAATAGTACTCATTATACATTGCTCATAGTTGAGCCCAGGATTAGGGTCAGTGGATTCACGCGTACATGGAAACTAGGTCTTGCAAATACTGTTGTGACCGATGATGAAACCGATGAATACTCTTTGTTTTACAATGGAATGGCAGTATTGAGTAAGGAAGATAATTCACATATTATGACTGATATGACTTTGATTGAAGAGTTAGAAGGTGACCAATCGTACAATTATCGTTTGTTAATTTGTTTGTCAAATGTATCATTTATTTATTAATCTAGGTTATTCCAAAATATTTAAGTTCCACATTGATTTACCAAGCAATTTACCACCATCACATGAAGTTCCATTTGGTCATACAAGATATAAACTCGAAGCACATTATAATGGTTTAACCACTTTAGATTATTTTAGTGTTAACCAATGGGTGGGTTTGAACAAACGTAATGACACTATTGTAAGTAAAATTATTTTTAATAGTTACCGTTGATAATCATTTTATAAAATTGTTTACATTAGGTTAAACGTGCAACATTTTCTGTGCCATTGTATGCATTTTGTCAATCAATTGAAATGATATTAAATTTAAACCAGTCATATTATTTACCTGGCGAAACTGTTTTTGTAATAGCTATGATACAAAACAATTCTAGGACAGATATTATTTTCTCAAAAATAGTCATTGTTCAGGTTAGTTTTATATTTAAAAAATATTAATATTACATTGATACTTATTTCAAATTAAATCAGTAAATATAATATTATTTAAAAAACAATTTAATTTAAATTTGGTATATATATTTTGCACTGTATGCACCTTTAGTAAAATATATCATTAATATAATATCTTAATCTGTGACTGAAAGTAATAATTTTTATAACACTTGGGTATTTTATTATCTATACATCTTGAAGTTATTTTTTTATCATTAATATATTATGCTATAGATTACTAAGTATTGGAAAACTCTTCAGCTATTACCAATAAAACACGTCAGAATAATTGCAGAAGGAATAAGAGGATATATATCTAGTGGAAATAAACAAATATGGGATAGTCATCCTTTAAATTTACCAGCAATTATTCCAACTACAAATTTATCCAATAATCCATTTAACTATTTTGAAGTCAAGTATAAAATTAAGGTTATTATTTTTATGAAATTTAAAATTTAAGTTATCATATAAAATAGAAAAACTTAAAATATTACAATTAAATATATATTTTTTAGGAAATTTTTGATTTTTATTAATTACAATAATTGTGAGAAAAAAATCACTCTGCTTATGCTTTAAATTAATTTTACTGTGAAATTATTTATTTTCAGATGCTTATTGCATTGAAAAACTCGAGTAAGAGAAAAGTGTTAAAACAAGATTTGTTTATTGGTAATTGGGATAAAAGTGTCGCTACTAATGGTAAACAGTTTATAGATATTGTACAAAATGACTCGATTTATGGTAAGTCATATTTAATAATTAGAATTTAATCACTTTTTAATTGTTATAAAAATATAAAATATTCATTATTGAGATTAACTAACCCTTAAATAATGTTACTTAACAGCTATTAAAATATGATTTTAAAGTAGTTTAAAGTTATTTATTTTATTTTTATTTGTGTTTAAACTTTAAATTTGTAGTGATTTAAGATCCACTAAAATATTAGTAGTAAATCATTTACTTGTCCAGTCTATAATTATTATATTATTAATTATTATTACTTTTATTAGTTAACTATATATTTTTTTCAGAAGTTGGCGTTAAAGATTGTTCTCTAATTAAAATGGAAAACAATGACATAGATTTCATACCAAAGTATATGATTTATGAGAAAAGTCAAGTATAAAATAAAATAAATTTGTTAAATATATTGTATATTATTTATAATAGAAAGACACTATTATTGTAACACAATTTTTTACATTAATATTGTAACAAAAAAATAAATAAAGATTACTTTTTTCTCTCGTATTTCCATTTATAAATTGGAGCTGCATCTTTAGTTGCTGGTGTTATCTTCTTTGGCTGTTCTTTCTTAGATCCAAGCAAATGAGTTTTAATTTCTAATTTTCTCTGTACAATAGATAATTCCTTTTCCCTATTAGTTCTTCGTTCTAGTTCTCTATATGATTTTCTCTTTTCGGATAACATTTGTTTAATAGTTTCTTCATCTAAATCTGGCAGTTCAATTTTCTTTAAATCCGACAACCTTATACGATTGGTTTTTCTATTAATAAGATCTGGATGTGTGTCTATCTTTTCAGCTAAATTTCCAAGGCATTCATCACCTTCGTCAAAATAAATATGACTATTATTTGTATGATTAGCTTGATCTAAGTAATGCAGTTGTGATTGTAAACGCTCAATTTTTTTCCTTTCCATAGTCGCACGCATATTGATGTATTTCAGATCTCTAGTTTGCATTAGCTTAATTTGATCTTCAGTGTGTTCATCTTCTTCTCGTATTTCTGTATGACGTCCATCCTCGACTTTAGAATTTATCATGTGAAAATAAAACTCATCTGGATTGCGATTTTGAGCTCGTTTTTTCAATAATTTTAACACACGTTCTCGCTCTTGATGGTGTCTAGCACGGACTTTATAATCTTTTTTCTTTTCAAGCAACCCATATTTTTGACGAGCATCAGGCTGGTGACGTTCTCTATGTGTTTTCTGATTAACTTTTGATGCTTTTTTCCACGACGACATTTTCAAACTAAACAAATTTAAAAAAAGTTGAAGATTTTGAAGGAAAAATGTGCACTTTCTACTTACCCGATTAATGTGTATTTTTAATACAAATAAGTAATAAAATAACTAATATTTAATATATAATAAATGCTTGTTATCAAGAAATAACGATATCGAATATCAATTCTGTGTTAATTATACTTATCTTTTAATCCGAACATCCAATTATCAATAAACAAGCACGTGGGTTATAGCAGTGCTACCTTCAGAAAAATCTAAAATATTTTAGATACCAATAATAAATACACCATTTTACTATATTTTAGTAATTGACCTTATAATCATAATAATAAATATTTATAATTTACTATACATGGTTAGAAGAAAAGAAACAATATTCAAAGTATCTTAGTATCGTGTTAATGTTATAGACTTACACTATAGTCAATGGATCTTTAATTATAATTTATTTTGAGATCTTCTGTAACCATTATTAAGACACTCATTGGAATTCATTGTAGAATGATTTTATCCCATTGGTTGTTACCATTGTTTATAAATACCTTTATTCAAATAGAATTGTGAAGTATTTTTAATTATTGGTTTTATTTAAAATATTAAATGCTAGGTATCCAAAAATCGTATTAAAATATATTTCTATAATTGTTCATTGTTTATAAACTAAAAAGAGATATTATTTAGATAAAGAATCTTTTTCTGTACTGATAATTTCCTGAATTTTTTTTTAAAATTAGGTTTTTTCTTACATTTATATATAAACTAGAAGTTAAAATACGATTTATGACTTAACTTGTTAATTATAACTATATTTTGTTTAAAAAAAAGAAATACATTCATTTACAACTTCTATAATATGGTATAATAAACAAGTTGAATAGTTAATAATTTTATAAAAATAACACTTTTGGTTAAAATAAGAACTCTCAGCTGTACTACCCAACAAAATAATTCAATTTATTATATTATTTAGATTTTAGGCATTTAGCAAATCCTTGGACCATTACCTTTTTAGTTTTCTGGATATGTATACAGAATATAATTTATTGATTAATAAATTGGTGAGACTACAAGAGTGTACTTTTAAAAGAATTTAGTATAATGCAACTTGGCTAGATTGTTAAGGGTTAGTAGTTTTAAGTCTATGAAGTTTTTATTAATTACATACCAAGGACCTAGTTCATTGGTTCAAACTTGGATTTCAAGGGGACTTAGGAAGTACAGTATAAAGATGACTGATTTACGTTTTTGTTTTAGATGTGAGCTCCACATGAGATATTTATTAAATATTAGACTTAAGTTCCTACTAAATTTATTTGCTGATGGAAAGACTTGGTTGTTAATGTGACAAGTGGATATTTAAAATTTTGAAATGTGAAAATTACATATTGATTATCTATAAAACTAAATAGTAATTCCAATATAATAGTTGTAAGAACTTAAGGATATTCCAATGTGGATATTTTTAAATAAATTAAATACAAACTGTCTTTAGAAACAAAATAAATTGTGCTTTAAAAGAACGCCGCACTCGTATATGTCGTCTCCATCTTACATACATACAACATAACAAATTTTTATTCAGCAGAATCCATTTTATGTTGTTAACCTAACCTAACCTATTATCAAACTTAAAGGTAAGAATTTTATCAATATAAACATTTTAAAGTGAGTTATGAACATTTAAAATTTTTAATATTTCATATAGCTATAACTCAGTTTAAAATTAAAATATCGATAAAAGCCCATGTTATTGCCTAGATACAATTCTTACCTTTATATATGATTGGTTATAGGTAAATTTACTCTTATATTAAAACTAACATAAAATGGATAATGCTGAACGAAAATTATTAATATTGCATGTATGTAAGACGGAGATAACACACGTGGGCACGGTATCCTTTTTTCATTAGAATAGACTAAAAATAATATCAAATTTTAAATTATAAGAAATTTAATTCATTCTTCCGATAGATAATCTATGTAAATATTACTTATTGACGTTAAAATATTGTTATTCTCACTTTAAATTTTCATAAAATAATTAAGTTAAAGCTAAACTATTTCTGGCGACATATACAGGAACAGAATTCTAAGTTATATGGCATAATTCCTAGAATTTTAATGAAATCATCAAAATTTAAATTACTTACATTTGATCATTCTGTATTTTTGTAGAAATTAAGATTTTAGGGAAATAGTTTTTTTTTTAGATAAATAAATTTAATTTAATTTAATATGATAAAAATAATGAGTAACTTATTTTATTTCAGACTTGAACATTTAGATAGGCTAAAAAATGTACACATTAAATTTATTATTAATAGTTTAACATATTATGTCTGTTTACAACTTATTTTATGTTTCAATAAAAATGTTATTCTCCAGGCATTTCACCACCAGGAACCAACTAAAAAAAAACAATAAAAGGGTAATTAATATTTTTAACCCATTATAATTGTAAAATAACATTAGATTCAATACTAAAAATATATTAATTTACCATAGTTATATTATTTCCATTTAACAATATTTGATCCAATTTAGTGACTCGTCTTCCTTCAGGCGTAGATTCATATTCTGTTACATCTTCAAGCAACATATTGACAAAATCATCAAACCCTAATAATGTACCAACTATTTCCTTATCATTTTTCATTACAATGTGAATCCTTGAACCAATACATTTATCCACAAGTTCTGAAATTAATAACATTTAAGTAATTTTGTTTCTCAACTTGGGTGTTATAAATTTTATTGACAAAAAAAACTATAATCAAAATAAATTATGAAAACCTACAATTTCTCTAACAGTTGCTTTATTACTAAGGTGTATTTTACAAAATGACTAAATTAATTGTCAATATATAATTAAAATAACTTTTTTTTTTTGCACACCATTACAAAAATACAAGCCTTTGAAAATGATTGTACAATGATGTAATAATACATCACTTACCGAGTGGAAGCAAAGTTGAAGGGTTAGTTGCTACGGAAGCGGCCATGGTTTCTAAAATTTGACTGATTTGAGATTTTTTTTCTTATATTAGTTTTCAGCGATATATTAAATAACTAAATTATTAGAGTATCGATATTAAGAATTAACTGACGAATAATGAGAACACGAGTCGAAGAGCGCCAGAATAATGATAGTGAAATGTGAAGATATAACATTCTCCTGTGCATTATTTAGCGTTTTCCTCTTATCTCTTGTACACAGTTTATGTTTATCACTTCTGATAAAACAGTAACTACAAACTGCATATTAATATATTATTCTTTTGCCTATTCATAACTTGAAGATGTTTTAAAAAACATATTTATTTTTTAAATTTAATTCGATTAAAAATAATTTGATAGAAAAATACTAAATAACTATAATTATTATTTAAATTAGTAGTGTATGGTCAAGGTAAACATTATATTCCTGCTTAAAAAAAAAATAAAAATAAATGTATTTAATTTATAATATCGATTAGTAATATAATATATGTATTATATTTAAGATATAATATACTTCATCAACTGTATTCTAATTTGTTTTGTTATTAAAGTATTTATATACTTACAAAATATTGACAAAAGCGTTCAAAATTTCGACTTTATATTAACCAGCAGGCGGCAAGTATCATCACACTCGTCATATCCATGGTGGTATGACGTGGTGAATAGTTTTACACACTAGTTAAAAGCGTTGCGTTCAGCAATTTTAAATGATTTATAAATGGATTTATAGTCACAATATTTTTTTATAAGCATTAAAGTTAAACTTTTGACGAAAAATTTAGAAAAAAGTTTTATTTTTATAAATGTCAATAAAAATGTATACACTAGATCGAAATTCTTGAAAATTTAATAAAATATCCCACACAAAGTATTTTTATGTCTGTATAAAAATATTAAACATACATAGACAATTTTTTTTTTAATATGCATTTGAAGTTCAAAATTACGAAACAAACTTATAATAACAAACCTATAAAAGTATTTTACAGTATAAAAATCTTAAAATTTTCAAGTTTGAAAAGATTTAAAAATTTAATATAGCATTCCTCATAAGTCATAAGTATTTCATATCATATTGAAACTAAAAAACTAAAAATTTAAAATATAATATACAAGCACAATATTTTTTTATAGACATTTGAAGTTAAAATTTGATTGAAATTACACATTTAAATGATAAGTAATGATTTCATTATTTTATTTTAATTTAAAAACATTATTCAAGAAGACTTAAAATTTTTAAGTACCTACCTATAAAGTTTTTATTATACTTTACGTAAAGACGTTTAAATATATATACAGAAATTATTACCTATTTGTACCATGAATTTATGGTTTAAACACTATTTTACGATAAAATAATAGCTATTGCATTAAAAGTTATTAAAATAACAATAATAAAATATTTTATACATATTTATACTATTATAATAATTAAATATTAATAATGTAATAAATGCAATATTTTCGACAAAAATTAAATCAACCTACTGTAATAGTAATAGCAGTATAGCACATAGAATAATATTTAAACAAATTACTTAAATTAGTTAAATTACAATTATATTGAAAAAAATCATGAAATCTACCTAGTAATATAGGCAGACCATATCCGCACAGAATCGTTTTTCGTATAAAATGGTGTAGTATAAAATATGATATATTAAAATTTAACACATTCATTACAAAGATCCACTCGACACTTAATACACGGCAGAGAAGACTAAAATGACTGGTTCACCTATTTTTCGTTTTTCAATTACCTCAAAAAAGTACTGCGAATTTTTTAATTTTCCAAAGTTTTTCCAAAACATAGATAAGTATAGTAAAATATTATAATATCAATAACATAAACTATAGATCTGAGATATTAGATCGAATTTCAAGACTATCAGAAATTTGGAGCTTAACCTTCGTAAGATAGGTGCGCTCGTGGCGATTAGCGATAGTTACAACAGGTGTAATTTTTTCAGTTTACTCGTGCAATCATGCACTCTACCTTGTGGACATATAATTAGATTATATCAGTTATATCATCAATTATATAAAACCACGGACTAAAATATACCTTAGTCCATGTATAAAACATTCTCTTATATTATTATCTTAAGCTATAGTCACCACATATACCTTAGACCATAGAACACAGCTATAGAAGCGACCACGATCTTAGAAGATAAGGTTCAACGACTAGTACTTATCAGTTGTCCGTTTAATGTAAAAAATTTAGTTCAATTGTTTCTCACAAGCGCTGCAGATTAAACTTATTGTCTCATTGAAGTTATGTACTTAATTTCTTATATTGGTATAATGGTATGGTTCAAAATTCCACTAAATTACCAAAATCTAAATTCAACTATTAAACTTTGGTCTTTAAAAACTAATTATTAAAACATTTATTTCTATTTATTGAGTTATTGGCAATTATATTATTATATACATTATTTTAGTTTTATCAGTTTTTAGTAACTGAATTATGCCCAACAATATTTGTATATTTGGTTGTAATACCTACCAATAAAAAACTATCTGTGTTTTCTATTCCGAAAGACGAACTTTTAAAAAATGAATGGTTAAAATCTCTCAAGGTTCAAAATTTATATAATAATAACGTATGTGAAGAACATTTTCTTACAAACCAAATAAAAAAAAAAAAAGATACCTATATTTGATAAAGTGGGAAATATTGTATGCACAGCGTAAAGAATAAAAAATATAATAAATTATTATAAAATATAATCTTTATTCTTCATGATGCACAGTAAGTTATAGATGAAATGTAGACTAGATAGTATTCAGAAAATATGTTTCACGAGTTATAAGAAATTATTGTTTAGGTTCCTCTGTTACGTCCTCGATTATTACCTAATGCAGTAACTTTTAGGTTTTCTGCAAGGAAAAAATTAAAATTTAATGAAAATACTGAAAAAAAATAAAGCATTTTATAAAACTTTAATTAAATATATTTATAAGAATTATATTTGAGTATTACATTCTAATATTTATTAGACGAGAGATTATTGATGGACCCCTGTAGTGGCCAAGCTGCAGAATCCAGTATCTCTATATTTTCAGATATTGTAATTATAAATTAATAACTATCAAATTTAATATTTTTTTAAATTAACAATTATATTTTAAGGATAACCAATGTGATCCTGATGAAAATATAGTTAATGCAATGTTAGATCATAATTATTCTGCAATTCTGCTATGCCTAATGATAATTTACAATTAGATGATTGTGTTGATAAGTACAATGTTATGGAATTTAATAAGACTATGATATGCCAAGAAGTAAAAAATCTAAAACATTGATATAATTAAAATAATATATTTTTATGTATTAAAAGTAATCACTTTCTTATGTTTAAAATTTAAAATTAAATTTATTTATAGGTTATGTCAACAACTATAAAAAAGCAAAGTAATACATTATACAATTTCATTTAATGAATTGAATACTTTGGACTTGCATCTACCCCCTAACTGGCACAAATATTTTTTTCATGAAAAGAAGTACCTACTTTGGTATATTTGAAATTATTTTTGTAGAAAAAGAAGGCAGGTTAAATTCCTTTTTACGGAAAAGTATAATTATAAGTCAATGTTTAAAAATTGTAATATTTTGGGAAAAAATATCTTCTAAGACCGTTGAAGCGACACTCACCCCTCCACTTTTATTTTCTTTATTTTGGAAAGCAAGAATGATGTTGTAACTCGTAAGCTGCTTGGCGGTAAGACAAAAATTACGAATCATTTTAAGACTGTTAAGAATTTTAATTTTTAACCCGTTATTAGTGACGTTATTTTTATAACACCGTTAGTGATGTTTGAGCGAAGTACTCACCTATTAAAATATAGGTGTGAGACTACAAATTTATATACCGTGGTACTGATAAATATAAATATTGAACTGCTAAAGCATAATAATAAAACAATATAATGAAAATAAAATAATAAATAATTTAATAATATAATAATAAAATAACAAGATAATATGGTAAGGCGATCAGTGACATGCGAGCAAAACGCTAGTCGCTAACATATACGTTATTATTACTTATACGACAATATTGGACTTCAATAACTTTGTTAGTTTATTTATAACATTTAATGTTTTTCCGTATTTATTTTCGTGAATAACTCAATGAAGCATTTATATAATATTGTCAAAATTGAATTAAATATAAACCAGTGGTTCTAAAAATATTAAATATGTGAGCGAAATGCTCATGCCTCATATCATCACCATTAACATTGGCCGCCCAAGAGTATCGCTTCAATAGTGTTTTATGTTTTAGACGCGTCTGTATATGATAAAGTTAACGTTTATCTTAATTTAAATTTTAATATTTTAAATGTTAATCATTTTGATTTAGAATTTTATCCATGCTGAACCTTGTCTGACTGCTGTTTGTTGGTCAATAACCTATGTTTCACAGTTAATTTCACGGTTTCAACATTCAGTAGTTTAATAGTTTAGACGTTTAGTACTTTTAGAAGTTTGGTTTTTGTTTGAAATTGTTGAATATGGTTTGTATGATAAGAAATATTTCAATAATTAGTTTTAATTTTACTAATAAAATATTATTATTAATTTAGGATTTTCTCAATGGACCAATAGCAAATGAAATCGTTAAAAGTGAAGAAGCTTCAAAAATTCGAGGTCGAGGACGAGGTTATTTATTAAAAATGATGAAACAAAAACTGAGTCCAGAAAAATCTGTATCAGTATTGGCAATGGAAAATATAAAGAGCTATATCAAAAATACTGAAGCATATAATCAAAACCTTATTAACAAATCTTGTTTTCAAGACTATGATTATAATTATGAAACACCTGTAAGATCAACTTATATTCCACCTGAACTTGATGAAAACGATGAATCTATTTATAATGAAGGAATCAGTTCTGGTATAAATTTTGAAAAATTTAATGATATTGAAGTGAAGGTGAATGGTAAAAATATACCTAAAGCTATTGAAAGTTTTGAAACATTAAGCTGTGTACCAGAAAAATTAATGGAGAATATTAAAAAGTGTAAATTTGTAAAACCAACTCCTATTCAAAAATATTCTATTCCAATTATTTTATCTGGTAAAGATTTGATGGCCACTGCGCAAACTGGTTCAGGAAAAACGGTAATTAAATAATGTAAACATTAGTATTCAAGTTATATTTACTGTGGTAGTATCTTTATAAATTATTTTTTTATAGTGGTGAAAGAATAGTGATTGTCTGCTATGTTTTTTAAATCATAACACGCTAAATAACATAAAAACTTATTTGTATAGTCTAAATCAAGTCATTTTGCTGGTATTTGTTACATAATTATATGTGATAAAATAATTTTATTAGAGTATTTTAAATTAGGTTATCAAATAGAGTGGTTTGAAATATTGAAATTGTTATTGTAAAAATATTTACCTATAATTTATTAAATGTTTTACTAATTATAAAATAATTATATTGTATAATTAATTCAAAAAAGCTACAGATTTGGTTATCCACTATCCAGGAAATGTATCGTTTACCTGAATATTTTTTTGAAATTATAATGTATAGGTAATTTATATTTTAATACATCCTTTTCAGATAATATTATATTATAATAATTTATTCTTTAGTAATTTATTTACCAATCAAATTATTTCTTACTATTACACGTGATTTCCCTTCACAAAAAAAATTATAAATTATAAAATATAAGTAATTATTCTTAGTTAAGCTAAATAACTGTTAACTAATATGTACCTAAATAAAACAAAAAATATTGCCTATTTATTATTACACATATACTTGTTTTAGGTTGCTTTTGTTTTACCAATAATACAAAAATTGCTCATGGATCCACAAAAACTAGTAAACGATAGTAATCATAGTGAACCTCAAGTTGTTATAATGGCACCTACAAGAGAATTGGCTGTTCAAATTCAAATAGTTGTATTAAAATTATCAAGAGGTACTGGAATTTCATCGTTTGTCTGTTATGGTGGTACTTTAGTTAGCTATCAAAAAAATCAAGTTCTTGTAAGTAAAATGTTTTTAAATAATAATTAGAATACCTTATTATTATGTAAATATATATTGTTGTATTATTTATATTGGGTGACATACATTTAAAACTAAAATGTATGATTCTTGTATATTCTAAATCAGTGGTCTTTAAACTTTTTGATTCAACCCAATTTTCTTACCATACATTTTTTGTAACCCATGTCAGCTTTATTAGCCAAAAAAATTTCAAATTTCTTAATGTCTATTGCTTAATTTCATTTTTTTGTATCATGCCTAACATACATAATATATATATAAATATGAATTTTTTAAATTTTAAACAATGGACTTAACGTGATTCAATCTTTAAGCTTATGCGACCCATAGTTTGAAGACCACTGTTCTAAATTAATGATTATAATTCAAAATTATATTAGTTTAACTTTTTAAGTTAAAGTATTATGACATCTATTTACTATATTTATTACCATTTATTCTTTCAAACTTTTTGACCATAATGATATAATATTTCAGTTGTCTAAATTCATAAAAGCAGAATTTTAAATAATTGTTAGAAAATTTAGCATTATTTATGACCAGAAACACTTTAATTACATTAAAACAAATAGTATTCCACTGACGCCCATATCATTGTTGTTCATTTCTTCACATAAAACTGTCACTCATATTCCTGTCAAATTCTCCTCTCATACTGGTAGCAGCGATGTTAAATAACAAATTGTTATGTTGTCTTAGTTCAATTTTCTTCCTAGATTGTGGTTCTTAACCTGTGGTTTGTGTCAGTCTTTACACATAACGTCTATATGTGACATATCGTAAAAGAAAGGTATCTAAAAAAAAAAAATTAGTAAGGAGATCTGTAATTTTTAAAAGTCCTTGATCAGGAGTCCACAAAAAGTTAATAACCGTTGTTCTAAATCCTATCTATGTTTGTTACTTCAATTCTACAATGCTTAAACATATTATATCTATGTTATAATATTGTATTTCTTATGGTTTTGTAAGCTTTGTTACATATGTATATAATAGTATAATATTAATGGCTATCTATAATATACGAAAATATATATTGGATAAAATATGCATATTTTATAGTAAAAATATAATTAATATTTTTGATATTAGAAAGGTTGTCACATACTTATAGCCACACCAGGTAGATTAAATGAATTTGTTCATCATGGTTTCATAACATTTTCTTCTGTGAGATTTTTTGTTTTGGATGAAGTTGATAAGATGTTAGACATAGATTCAAAATCTGATGTTGATAAAATTTTAGATCATTTTTCAATGTTGCCGGTTGTAAGTTTTTATTGATAAACAGTAGAGTAAATACTTGTATAGTATTGAATATCAAGTTTTTATATTTTACAGACAAAAAGACAGACAATTATGTTGTCAGCAACTTTACCAGATGAAACTCAGCATTTAGCGAAATTCTATTTAAATACAAATTATTTATTTTTAGCAGTTGGTATTATTAGTAGCGCTTCAAAGGATATAAAACAAACTTTTTACATGGTTAATAGATTCAATAAACGTAAAATTTTATCCAATATTTTGAAAAAAGGTTTACATTTTAAATAATTGAAAAAAATATCTATATTTTATGTTAAGAAGGAACATCAGTAACAACCACAGATTAAAATATAATCTAAATATATCTTAGTTTGTGGCAGCAATTTAATTTTGTCTGGCATTTGTATGTCTGCAATCCACACTGAATCATCTATTTGTATGCCTGCTGTGTAGTTAAGTCATACCTCTGGTATAAGTTGGTCACCAAGTTCCTTCTAACATGAATAGATTATAAGTATAATTTAAAAAACATTGATTCTTTTCTAGATTCAGTAGGAACTATAGTATTTGTAAAATATAAATGGACAGCAGACTTCCTTGCCACATATCTAAGCGAAAAGCATATTCCATCAACAAGTATACATGGTGATCGTTTACAAGATCAAAGAGAAATAGCGTTAAATGATTTTCGTATCAAAAAGATGAATGTACTTGTAGCAACAACTGTAGCTTCAAGAGGTTTAGGTAAATATATTCAACTTTTATTGGTTAAATTAAATTTAGTAGACAATTCTATGTATTTTTAGTTAACTCTCATAATTAAATCATTATGGTAATCTTCTAACTAAGGAGACTTTTCCAATTGTTTACTGTCTCTATTCAAATCATGATTTAAATAACTATTAAGGAAAAAAATCTTACTCTGTGTTCTCTGTATTTTTAGTACAATGAGTTGAAGTCTAAAATATTTATATGTATAAAATGACTCATTTATCTTATAACAAGTAATTGTTATTTATTATTTTTGTCGGATCTTTATTGAATGCAATATAGTTATAATATATTATTAATAGTTAACATATAAAATAAGTAAATAGATAAATGAATAAAACAAGTAAAGAATATACTTAAAAAATAATCCCACAAAAAAATTAAATCGAATCTAAATAAGATTACTTATCAAGAATTTTCCCTATTTTAAACCAGATTCAAATACGAGTAAAAAGAAACATATCGTGATTATGTAAATAAGACCAAAAATACATTAAAACATAAACTTTCTGACTTTTGGAACCAAACTCTCATATTAGTATGATCTGCTGTAAGGCATTAAAAAGTTACGGATTTATTATTCAATTAACTAAAGAATGTTCCCTAAATATCATGATTAAGACGCTGTATTGTGCTTTAATAAGAGTATAAGACCCATTTTAGAATACAGCACACTAATTTGGGATTCACATACTGTTAATAGTTCTATTCAACTTAAAAGAGTCCAACTTAAATTCTTTATATATTATGCTAGTTTTATTCTATGTCCTCATGAATTACTATCCTACCTCAAAGATTCTTGGCCTCGATTCTCTAGCAGACCATAGACAGGTGTTAGGCATGACATTTCTGAATGGTCTTCTATCAAATATCATTGACTCTCCTGTTATCTTATCTCTTATTAACTTAAAAGTTCCACAATTTTCTACCTATATGTACACTAGTGTCTTTTCATACTTCTCAATTTAAATCCAATTACACGAAAACTGAACCTGTTAACAGAGGCAACTTGAATATGCAAAAGATTGAGGCTTTGCCCCAGTCTATATTTAGGGTGGTCATTGTTAATAATATTAAAATAGCTATAACTCATTATTTTTTTTGAAATATTTTAATATTTTATAAGAACCAACAAGACGTAATGAGATGTCTCAATACTGTTACTATCATTAGATTTATCATTTGATAGTTTTATTATAAATCAACCTGAACGCCAGTATATATTAAGTTGTGTGTATAATAGTGGAAATTATATAAATTCAAAAAATTGGCAAAGACATTTGGATTTATCTTGCTCAACAGGTATTAACTTGAACTTTAAAAAGATAATTGACAAATTTGCATGAATTCAAATTTACAATGTACTGCTTTATTATATTAATAGATTTATATTTATTAAACATAATATTTTTATTGCTTAATAAATAATTTATGTTTTTTATTTTTTGTTCAGTAAAATATCAAATTTATGTATTGGTGGGTGGGTGGTATATTTAGGCTTACCCCAATCATATATGATTAGTAAATCGCCAATGTAATTTGTATTGCTTTTTAGTTAAATAATTGTATTAATTATATACTTATTTATATTTTGAATGGGTAACACCTTTCTAATATATTATTTGTACAAAATAGAAACTATAATAGTTATTTTATTATTGATCTATCAATAGTTGCATGCTAACGATACATTTAACATTTGTATTACTTATTTTAAAATTTTTTGATATATTTTAATTTTTGAATTTTTAGATATTGAATGTGTGAACCATGTCATTAATTATGAAATGCCTCAAACAATTGAAGAGTATGTTCAAAGAATTGGACGTACAGGTAGACTAGGAAATCAAGGAATTGCTACTTCTTTTTTTGATCCTGATGAAGACCACCTTTTGATAGAACCAATTATAAAAACTCTAGCATCGGTAATATTAAATATATGTATACTTATCTTTTTTAATTCAAGGCATATTTATAATTTATTAAATGTTTTGATTTAGGCAAATCAAGAAATACCTAATTGGTTAGTTAAACTAGGGCGAGAAGCTAAATATAATGATGATGATGATGATGTTTTAGATCATTTTGGAGGCTCGGATATAAGAATTGTAATTAATATTTGCTATTATTATCTATATATTATGAAATCTAGGACACAATGGGTATGAATATTATTTAAGCATAACATTGCGTATCATTCATTTATATTGGGTATAATATTTATATTCCAATAACTATAGATTAAATTATTGCGATAACATTTTTTATTTATTCATTGATAGATGGTATTTTTGTTTTCATCAATTTTTACAATTTTTTTTTTATGTTTTGTTGCATTTAAGTGAAATTACATGCACTAGTAAAATTCAATGTATTTATAAAATTATAAGCTTTTGATACATTGTAAGTACTTATGATTTTTTTGTGTCAAAAAAAATATTGAATTTTCTATATTTTGAGGCACAATTAAACAGGGCAGTATGTAGTTTACAGTTGGGGGGGGTCATGGATTTCTATAAGATTATTTTAATTTAACTTTTCAATCTATAAATTGAATATATTAATTAAAATAAGCTTAATACCAATAAAATATATAATTATGATGAGATTCATAATAGATTCAAAATGGCATTCTAAATTTTTATGCCACTAAAAAAAAAAATAATTTAATTTTAATATCTACTGAGTATAGAAAAATTTAAGTATAATAATATATTTGCATACTTACATTTAAATATTGCTTAAAAAAATTACTGTATTTGTATTTATGTATATAAATAAATTTTAAAATGTGTCTATTTTTGTGTTTACAGAAATCAAATTCAATTGATGAAGTTGAAGAATGGTAAATTCATAGTTGAATATTTAATAAATGTTTCTTTATTATCTATAGTTTTTTTTTTTTTTTTATTATTATTATTAACTATTTATTTTAGAATTGAAAATGTGGTAGGTTGATTAATCTTTTCCAAGATTGGATTGTAAGCATAGTTAGAGACATGTGAAAGATCAAAAACAGTGCGAGTATTAAGGAATTTAGAAATCTATATACATATAGGAAACTGCCCTTATTTATTCATCAGCGCCTAGACCAAATCGCTAGGTCTAGAGACTTGAAATTTTGTATAAAGGTTCATTAAGCAATGTAGGGACACACTGAGAAAGGATTTTTCAAAATTCGACCTCTAAGGGAATAAAAAGAGGGTTTTAAAAGTTTGTATAGATTTTATATAGCTATATATGTATTTTTTTCTGATTGTTAATCGTTGTATAAAACTAGTCACAGGTAATTGACAGCCTACGATTGCAATACAAAAGGTACCGGCGTTAGAGGTCAAGGTCCATAGATAATGTAATATAGTAAAAACGTCCTGCGTTCATCGGTTCTAATCTAATAGTGCTATAATAATTAACACACAATTAAATTGTGAATTCCACATAATATTAAATTATATTCTAACATACAGTCTACGAAAATACCAAAAATAAACTAATACATGGGCAACACTGTGTCAGGACAACTATATTTATTTACCATACTATATTATAGTAGTTTAATATAACAAAGTAAAATTGGTGTATCAATATACCATAAATAACATTTTGGAATAAGTTTAAACTAGCATATATTCTTTTATCTACTAGGATTTTAACGTAGGTAATTTGTAAAGGAAAGATAGTGCATTTGTACTCACTTAAATATTGAGGAGTAACATGGAGTTTCAAAAAATATAGTTATACTTTAATAGAACACAAACTCAATAAAACTAAAAAATCTTAAGTAAGAAGTTCAAATTAAATTAGGATGAAACATATTTTATGAATTCTTGTAGACTATGTAATTAATGAACTGGATATGAGAAATTGTGATTTAGATTAGTGGTTAGTTAAGATCTTTTGATCTTTTTATTTTAAACATTATAACCAATGTTAATTCAAGATCATTATAGGAGAAAGTACTATAATGTAGTAATATGTAGCACTTGTTGTATTATATGAGTGATGAGAAAAACATTGATTGACATTTGTCAACATCTAAGTTTAAACCATCAAATTAGATTATAAATCATACTTTAATGAATAAGACAATCACCTGTTTATTTAATTTGACAAATTTTATTGATGATTAATGCAAAAATAACAGGTGGGGAAAAATCAAAGATGACTACCTTACAGGACTTAAGATGTGATAGATATGACCTCTTAGACTTGCAAAGAATCTCAGATATAATGTTACGGTTAACTCGTTTCATAAGTTATGAAATTTATTTGCAAACGCATCTGAGACAAAATTACTGAGAATGATTAAGTTCATAGGTATTGGGCAACTAGGTTAAATACTACATAGTTCATCGATTAGAATAGTGTTAAGTGATGGTTGGATGTTAAATAAACGAGTTATTCAAATGGTTTTGCAGCATGACTTAATATAGAAATAGGTAATTATGTCTAGTTTCTAACATTAAAATTTTTCACAATTTTTAAGATAGGGGTAATTAAACCAAGTTTCCATATTGATAGAAAACACCTTCCGTAGAGAAACACGGAAGATACATTTAATATTGTATAATTAAGTGCATAGCAGGCAATCTAGTCCAATGGATCTTATTTTTCAATTACACAAAATCAGTTAGAATATAGTTGCAATTACTCAGAAAATCATAATTAAAAAAAAAAGAGAAATTCTCGGGAGAAGTCAAGATATAATTTAAATAAGCAAAGAATAAGCTTCCAACTGGAAATGAATCTACAATGGGTAGGTATTTGTCGAGGTATATATTATCAGGAATATCATTTAATTTATTATTTCGAATAAAGCATAATATAAAACAATAGAGAGAAGAAAATCTTGAAACTATACTTTTAATTAAATTATATAATTTAATTAAAATTATGATTATAAACAAAAATTCTTTAAGAAATATACACGTAGTATGACAAAAGTTAAATTAATTTTTTAATTTTACATGATAGTATGATTTAAATTCTATTTTCTGGAAAGATAATAGAGGTTTAGTATAAATTTAAAAAAAAAATACAAACATGAGAGCTTATTACATCATTAATAGTTTCATAATCAATCACTTCCAATTTGTAATTCTTTCCATCGCGTTTCTAGATCCGAGAACTTTTGTTGTAGAATTTTTTCTCGTTCCTTTTGACGGTCTACATCATCAGTTAATGACTAAAATAGAAAAAAATCAATTAATTTAATAATGATTATAGAATTGTTGTTTAACTTATTTGGCTATATTTTATACTAAATAGTTAATAATAAACCACAAAAATATAAGCAAATAAAAAATGGTATATTTAAATTATATTCAAAATCACCTGTAGTCGTTTAGGTATAGCAGATTCTTCTTGTCGTTGCAAAAACTGAAAAGTTGATAATTCTAAATGTCCTTGTTCAATTTCATCAATACTAGTTATAAATTGTTTGATCAAACCTTGGGATCGAGTCTAAACAAATAAAATTGTCATAGATCATTGTTCTAGAATAATTATTGTTAATATCATTATCATACTACATACTTGATATCCCCCGAGAATAATTTTAATTTTTTTTTCCATTTTTCCAGCTTTTTTAGCTTCTTTAGTCATATGACCTCTATTCTGTTCCAGTTTCTTTTCCAACGATTCAATTCTATCTTTTTTACTAGCTAAATTTGCTCTTGTATAACGATTTTGATTTGGTAGAAATAATACTTGTCCCAAACACTCACCCCATACTTGAGTAAATGAATCTAATGACAATTCACCATGATTCATACCTTGCTTAACAATTTCCATTTCTTTCATCAAAACTTGTTTCGCCTGAAAAAATATTTTAAGCAATAAATAAATAAAATTCTGTTTACAAAATTACATATTATGTTTTTTGGTTTTCATAATCAGTAAATAATGTATATATTTTTTAATTACATTTTCCATTTCTTCTTCAGTAAATTGTTGGTATGGATGTGCCTGCAAATAAGCCAAATGCTGAGTTTCAGTTAAGATTGGCTGTTTTTTGGGACCACTTTGAGTAAGTGTAGCAACTTCTGGTGGTAGAGGGTTACAGACAGCATCATAATGAAGCATTGTTATCATTTCTTGTTTAATCAATTCTTCAGCCTACATAAAAAAATTATTTATTATAAAACATAATTTACTATTACTTTTAAAATATTTGTTTAATATAGTTTAAAATGTATTATTACCCTTTGAAGATCTGTAAGAGGTGGTTCTGAATTTAAAGGTCTCAAAACAATATTAGTATCAGGTGGACGAGGTAAACATCGTTGAATTACTTGAGATCGTAACTTCATTTCTAATTGCCCTGGAAATATACAAGTTATAAATTATTAACAATTTTTTAATGATAGTATTACATAATCAAATTTAAAATAGAAAATTAAGAGAGGAGTCATATTTTAAGAGTATACATTGTATAAGCGAAACCAGAGAGTGTGCAGGATATGGGTGGCACCCCATAAATAAAAATAAAGTTCTTTACATATGACATTTTTTGATTTTAAATGGAGTGAAACATAATACATAATAAACATGATACAGGGCATAAATAACCCAATATTTTTTTTAATTTTAATAATTCTATTTTGTGACTTATATTACAAAATACAATATATAATATAGCACAGTATGTATTACATATTATAATAATAATCAAGCTCTGCTTAAAGTAGATATAAAAATAAACTTATTTGATTTTCAAAAAAAAAAATTATTTTTATTATGATAAAGGGAATTGAAATTTCCAGGAATATTTGTATCCCTTGTACATGAGAACTGGCTCCACCTATTATACATAAATATATTTTTCTTTTTCAAATTGTATATTACCAACAAATTGGCTATGTAACTAACTAAATTCAAGAAAATTTTGTAATTTCCATTATTGAAAACAATATGACTTATAAGTGAATTGCAAAAATGAGTTTTAAATGAATATCAACTTAATTGTATGAAAACATTTTTAGAATTAGTTAAAACTATATTATGATACAATATGTATTAAACACATGTATTTATTGTTAGCATATTTTCTAAGTAATAATGAAAATACAAAATGTAATCATGTACAAAGTAAACTCTTATTTTAAGAATAACTGATAATAAAATATTTAAGTTAAACTCAGTTACTGCAATGCAAATTATTACATTTTATTGTTATACCAAGGTATTAAAATTTTTAGATCTAACTATATTAGTATATATTATATACCAATGATCAATATAATAATAGATATCTTATTTTAATACTTACGACGAGCTAGAAGATCTTCAGCACTACGCATTTCTACATCAGACTGATCTTCTACAAAATCTTTTTGAACTTCAGTTTCTTCGTCTTCAGGATGGTCTTCTGGCACAACAATTTCAAAATCATTTTTTGGTTGTGGTAATGTACTTAACCCTGCTTTCAACTGTTCTTTTACTTGATGTTGATAGTTTTTCATGGCTTGGGGTGTATTTATGATATCTACTTCCATAGAATCTGAACGATTGATACTTAATTGATCTCTTAAAGGAGTGGGTGTTAACATTCCAGCTTTTACTAGTGATCTATCACTTTGTGGAGTTTGGAAACCATCATTAGCAATTTGTGAAAGAGGAGTACCTAAAATTGTATTCGGTGTTGTAATCAATTGTCGTTGTGGGGTGACACCATTGAAATCAACATTTTGCAATTCTGTATTAAGACCTCCTTTTAGAGGAGTATCTACATGTGTAAGAGCCATAATATTTTGTGCATCCTACAAAAAGTAAATGAAATAATAAGCTTTAAGATCTATCCAATGTATAAAAGAAAAACCATTGAATAAATTTTAGCAAGGTTAAGCTCTAAATCATTCAATTTAAGTAATCATTATTTTGTGTTGTTTCCATCTTACAAACGCACAACATAACAAATTTTATATTTGCAATAATCCATTTAATTCTGTTACTTTTAATATTAGATTAAATTGGCGAGTTATTAAATTTTAAGGTAAGAATATTATTTAAGGCACTTTGTGGGTTTTTTTTTTTAAATTTTATAACTACATTTTTTATGAATTATAAGACACTCATAATTTGCTTCAATTGTTATATAAATATAAGCTTCTATGGGACTCTAAAAAATATTCTAATTTTCTAGTTTCAAAATAGGTCAATTCAGTTTAATGTTAATAACAGAGTAAATTGAATTATTCAAAATGTAATATTTGATATGACGTAGTGTTGATAAGAAAAAGACAATACATGCAAATATAATGTCCTCTTTCTCTTAAGTTAAAATAATTATCATGGTAAGACAAGAAAATATGTAATTATATTCAAATAGTCTAATTTTATAGTTAATTTCAAATTACTTGTAAAACTTTGTCTGTTGAAACAGACGGAGTTCTTGGAGTGCGGCCAGGAATATTATTAATTGAAGGTGTATAATCTGATAACAATGCATCTGAAGCTTGTTGAGGACCATTTTCCATAGCTATTTCTCGTGCCATTTCACTGGCTCGTCCCAATTTTACAACTTGTTGTAATTCCTTCAAAATAATAATGATTTAATAAAATATTAAAATTTAGAAAATAAAATATAAAATTACAGATTATTATTTACTTGATCAGATATCTGAGGTTCTGGTAGAACAAGTTTACTCATTTTTCTAATAGGTTCTTGATTATTTAACATAGCTAATGGAACTTCATTTTCCTTACGTTGCTTAAGCTTAGCTTTATCTTTTTTTCTTTCTCTCTAAAATTCAAACACTATTCAAAAATAATTCTTAAAAATGTAATAAAATATTTACCTCTTCAATTTCAACTCGCAGTTCTCCATCTAAATTTTGCTGTCTCAACTTTCTAAAATCTGGTGCAAGTGGATCAACCTCCTCATTAGCAGTATCATAAAATCCTAGAGCTGGTTTTTTTTCAAATGGTATTTCAGCATTATAGTCTATACCACGCTTTCGTTTATTGCCTCTTCCAACACCAATACCAGCAGCACGCAATTCTCTCCGTTTCTATTAAATTAAAACATTATTTTTGTTTACATAATAATTTTATAAACTATTTTGTAATTTACCTGTAATGCAGCAAGTCTTCTGGCTTCTTCTAACTGTTTTTCACGAGCTTTACGTTTTGCCTTTTTACCTTGTGTATTAGCTAAACGAGCTCTTGCTTCAGATAACATTTCCAACTCTAGAAAACATTTAAAAATATTATACTTTATAGTAATAAACAATAAATAACTTTTATATAATTAACAACTACAAATAATTTCTATAGATTTTATTTTGATAATATTAATTTTATTATGGTACTTTTTAAATTTTTTATTAATAAGATTATCAATTATAAATATTTTAACTATACGAGTTCCTAAAACAAATAATAGCATTAAAATGCTTTTTAAATAAAATATATATTTATCAAAGTTTATTTCAATAAATTTATATTTTATGAATAATACAAATGAAATTTTAAAAAAATACTTACATCTTAATAATTAGGTTTGTGAAAAATAAATATTAAATTTTATTGTAAATACTTATGTTTTACATACACTTTGTATATAAAATATCATCATATTTTTGAGGTTTTGCTATATTTTTTTTCATTATTATTCAAATATAGATAAAGAAGCCAAATATTTTTAATTAAATAACCTGTACATATAAAATCCAAATACGACTTAGTCACTGATCGCTGTAACTAAAAAACTATGCAATGTACAAACTTGAAATTTGGAATAGAGGTTCTTCTCATACTTTCACCGTGCAATAAGAAAAGATTTTCAAAAATGTTACGTTTTACAAGGAGTAATTAACAATTATAATTTATTCACTACCAATATGTATTGTGCTGTACGACATCCCGCAGTTTCCAGCTACCGGTAGATATAAATTGTTCTGAGAAATTAATCGATAAAAATAATATCACACATCGCGTGTACACCAATATCCCTATTAAATAATATGAAGTATATGAACAAAAATACCCATGGGCAAAGCCGGGTAATTCAGCTAGTAGAATATATTAGTAATATTATTGATAAATGATAAGTATTTAAAACTTAACACAAGCAAGTTAGTAAAGAACAATTCAACAAAATATACCCAACCGGTTTTGACATTTTTATTAAATATAATATTATCCTTAAAATAAATTAATAAATATGTTCTTAATAATATTTTAAACAAGTAATCACCATCTTCATCCATATCTTTAGGATCAGGACGTGCTGGTTTTGTCTCTGGATTTGGATCAATTTCACCAGGTTTTAATTTTCTTGGATCATCTCCCACTTCTTCACCATCTTCTTTCCTTTGGGCTTGATCTCTGAAAGTGTTACATATAAATAATATCTAACAAATAAGATTTTTATGTAAATATATATTATGGGCAATGTAGAAAATCAGGTATTTCATAAAATTCCCGGGTAATGTATAGAATGCCCAGTCTAGACAGTCAATGTAAAAATTACCACACTTAGCCTGGAAATTCTATACAATGAGTTGAATTTAGCAAGCAATATGAAATATGCAATATTGTGTTTTATTTAAAGATAAACTAGAAAAACCAATTTATTATATAAATTTAAAATATAATTATTAATTAAACATTTTTTTTTAAAAAAGAAAGATTTTATATTTTATTATTATTTATTAGAACATGGATTACTACCATGGTATTTAGATGTACATAGTTGTGACGATTGACAGTTATTTAAGTATAGCATAATCGATTCTCTAGTTACATTTTTGAATTTTATATTAATTTTATACTCCATTCTACTCCTACCACATCGTCCACATCCAATTGATAAATGTACCTTATTAATAAAATATTAAACAATTGTTGATTATGCACATAATATTTTATTGTATTATCTTCAGTTACAGGGACAATTAATTTTTCTTTTTCAGAAATTTGAATCACATCCTATTTTTTTAAGAGTCTAAAATCATTATGTTAAAATTTTTTAGTTTAGTTTTTTTAATCACTTTAAATGTACAATCAAATTGTCATATTTTGATTTACTTAAGCGTGTATAATTTGAACCTTTTTTCGTTAATAATTTATAAAATTTTAATTAAAACTGTCCATATCCAACAAATAAAATTTAAATTAAACAGTGAAACAAATTAAACAAAAACACTGATCGTATTAGTAAACACACTACACTCAGTGATTGATATAACATCAACATAACTTTCCAATTGTTTAAGTAAGTATCTAAAATCTAACTTAAAGTTTGAAAATAATTTAGTGAATTTACTATCTTGATTACCTTAATAGTTGATAGTGAATCAAAAATATGAGAATTGTTATCGAATTAATTTGTATCTTTATTACCTTGATAAAGAAGGTATTCAATTGGTCAGACAGTTATAATGGTGATTTAGTTCCATATTAATTATTTAAATTAACACAAAATATTATGGCAATATTTTTCCAAGTTCATATAGCCCTTGATAAATTGACCATTCTATATAATGCCTGGGCATTTTCAAATTGCCCAAAATTGCATGTTATTCTATACAATTCCCCGAGTATCTACATTGCTCATAACATATATATATCCTTTGATAATAGCAAGTACATTTTGTAATACATTAAACTAAAAAATCTACATTAAGTTTAAATATTATCTAAGAATATATACTAACAATAAATATTCATATCTTTCCAAACATTGTGAAGCAGTACGACCAACAATTGGAGCAATAGTACGCCATTGTGTAGGCATGAGTTTAGCAAGATGCAAAAGTTTTTCATCTTCCTCTCGGCTCCATTCAGTTTTTTTTATACTTGGATCAAGCCATTCAAACCAACGTGCTTTACATTGTTTAGCTGATTTACGATGTAATAATGACGCAATACGTGACCATTGATTTTTGCCATATTTCATAACAGCTGCTTTAAGAATCTCATCCTGTAAAAATAAATAACATAAAATAATGAAAACTTATTCCCATTATCCTTAGCATTAAAATCTATTAACTCGATATTTATATCGTACGAGTTCTGATTCAACGTGATTAGAGTGTATCTCCAGTATTTTTTCTACATTAAAACTATATAGTTTGGCATTGACCATGTTTAATAAAATTATTCTATCAGTAATAATAATTTGATTAAATTATGATTTTGCCATTAAAATATAAATAAATAGTTGCTCTAAACTTGTAGGTATATGTGCTAAACTCAATAAAAATTAAGAAATTATGAGAAATTGTTATAATTTTTAGTTAAAATAAAGATTTATTAAACTGATCAATGATTGTTTAAGATTTAACCTTTGACAACTTGTGTTGCCTAAACACAACAGAACCAAATACCATTGACTACCTACTGTCATATAAAAGCTTTCTTCTTATTTTCTAAAAAAAAAATTGCATTTTAAATTGAATTATGTTTAAGCCTTATGACTACTTCTGTTAAGCATATACTTCTTTATTTACAGCATAAGGAATGACAAATCATAATCTAAAATATTTTTTTTTTTTTTTAATAATTTGAATTTTATGCGGTACAGCAAGGTATAGCTATATTTTAATTTAGTAATCAGAAAATTAATCTTTATGTTATACTTTTTCAACATGAAGATAAAATATAGTAATTAAATATCATTCCATGTTAACTATAATATAAATTTATGTACACATTGGAAATATTATAATATACTATTATACCAACTCTAAATCTATAAGAATAAATTAAATCATTTAAATCACAAATTAAGATGTACTCTGTTGGAGTTTTTTGTTTTTAACGTTTAAATCTCACCTCGGTGTTTCTCCAAACGCCACCTTTGATCATGATTCGCGGCATCTTCGTGAATGTTTTTTACAGTGGCTATTTAGTAATATTTATATATAAGATAGATGACTTGAAACAATAATATAATATATTTTTTATTAATATAATTTAAATTTATGAATTAAGACACTTAGAACCTGATACGGCATGTAATGAAATGCCAAATGCCGATCGCGAAACAACAAAATAAGACCACGAGAGCTTATCAGTTATCAGTTGAATACTTGAATAATTATCACAAACTACAAACAAAATAACGATACAGAAAATTCCTAAATCCAGTATGACTTATAGCCCCTTTTTTTGTTAGCAATGGTGGCGTTTAATTATCTAAATATCTAATACAGTGGTGTATCATGTATCATAGACCATGTTATATTGTTAAATTTATATTTTCCATGTTTGTATGGCGGGTTTGATTTTGATAATTTATTGGTATTATAATAATTGTATTATATTTGTATTTATTTAATTTTTAATGTATAAATAAATGGTAAGTACTAGGTGGCTATTGTTTCAGTTGCTATAAATATTTTTAAATTTAAAATTGGAAAAAGTATATTAATATTCAAAACTTATTCGAAATAGACAAATTGAGATAAAATATAAAATGATTTATGAATTATGATTATAGGAATAATCAATTTAGAGGACGCTGCACACCCATAAATTTGTTACCAATAAAATTAGTAAAAACCTAAAAATCGTTACGCGCTGCTTAGAGCTTTAAGGATCACAATCTTAACAGCTAAATTTCCACTCTTTAAGTCAAGAACTTTTGCGATAAAATATCATTTTTAAATTTTAAGTCTTAAATTCTATCGACTTAATCATGTCAAAATTTGTTACTTAGTCTTTACTCTTGGATATCAATGTATAATTATAATATAATTTGGAATTATATATTTAATGTATGAGTGTATGACCATACAGAACATGAAGTAAAAGTGTAAACCCTTAAAAGGCTAGTTTGGGTAGTACAGTACACTAGTACGTCAGTACTCAGTACGTGATTTTTAAATTATAGGTTAGTTTTTGTATAGAAAAAAATTAATTTTCTTTTTCCATGACGCCACAATAAAAATGTCATATAATAATATTGTACAATTACATACTTGTACAGATGGCGTGGAACCACGAACTTCATTTACAAATTATTGTAGTAGTTTGTGCATGTAACAATACTGTTTGAATCACAACCAATCGGCAATCAAGAAGGGTCTAATTCTTTTAACCATTGTTTTCGGCATGTGAGGTATTAGGATTTAGGATATCTGTTTTTAATTTTCATAATATTTAAATACTACGCTTACTACTTAGGTAGTGTTTTTAGTGTTTAACCATTCTGAGTGTTTAATATTTTTTAATCTGTTGGTCCTAAAGCCGGAATCAAAATGTATACGGTGAGTACATTGTAAAAATGTGTATGTTTCCTGTTATGATTAAGAAGACTATCATAACAATTATGACGCTTCACATTTTCAAACACACGATTATGCCTTAAAATTATTTATCATTTTTACTAATTTAGTGTTACACATATTATTCTGAACTCAATGATTGTATTTCATAATTATCTGTTCTATATATTGCATTTTTTAAAGTACATCTCGTAGGATATTACCTTTGTATGTTATTGAAATAAGCTAGTTTTATTTTTAACTGCTATATTACAAAATAGGTTGATATATTATGAAATAATAATTTTTATTGATGTAAAATCGTCGTCTTTTGAGTACCATACATTCTAAATAAAAATTTTAAATGTATCATACTTGTATCTGTAAAATGTAATTGATAAGCTAGTGATTAATTAACTAATAAAATGAATAAATTAACCTAATAAAGTAATATTTTTTAGTAGAAAGGTATCACTTCACTTCACCTTTTTATATTTTATACTTATGTACTTAGTTAAACTATGAAAAGAAACATGGATAACTGAAACCCAATACCTTATAAGTAGGATGAAATAACTTAAAGAAATCATTATTTTTTTTTTTTTTTTAATTTAATTATTTAAATAATATTATGTATTTATATAAGCAATTAATGTGTTCATAATAAAATTTGGAAGTTAAAACCATTCGGAATTTGAGAACTTATTAATTATTATCATTTAATATAATACAGAGAGATTTATTTTAGAAAACATTTCTTTGAGAAGTTTTTAAATTTTACTGTAACTAGTTAAATTCAAAACAATATTTTTGTACTATGATACTGAGTAAAAAATTTCCTATTTTTTATATTGTTATAAATTATTGAATTGAGATAATCTTTAATACCAAAGCAGGATATTTTTCTGAAAATTTATAGAAAATCAATTTGTTTCAAGTCTAATTTTATTAATCTTAGGTATTTATAGTTTGAATGAGCAGAAAAAATGGTAGTACCCCATAAAATGTTACTTGTATATATTCAACTGTGTTATTAATAAATATTAATAGATATTGTTGTATAATAACATTAGTTTTATTCACCTATGTCCATCATTAACTTTACTGTATGTTTTGTCTGTTGGGCCGTTTGTATACAGTTTTTCCTCAAGTTTATTTCCAAATAAGGTATTTTATTTTTCTGAAGAAATCTAATTTTAATTGTTTACTAATCAAACAAGATAAGACTTATAAGAAATATTTAAACTTATATATTTCATGAAATTCATAAACTTTTAAGTGTAATGATCATTTTTTTTAATAAATACTTCAATATTTGTTCTTGTGCATTCTTTGAATGAAGATTTGAAATAATTATAGAATCATATATAATGCCTTAAATAGGTACTTACTTTTAAAAATAACAACCTGCCTAATTGTTAACTATTCATTATTCATTGTCATTTAAATGTATTTTGTTTAATGTTCAAGGCAATGAAATTATATAACTAATAATCAATAATACAATTTTAACAATCAATGAAAAAAAATATTAAATGGCACTAATATAATCAAATAACTATGAAAACTCATACTATTATTTAATTTATAGGGTACTAGTGCTGACCAGGATACTAGATTCAGCGACAAAGAAAAAAAGCTTTTGAAACAAATGAAATTTAGTGAATCTTTAAATGCTAAGGTATTATGATAAATATCATTTAAATATTGAATTATCCTGGTTTTTAAAAATTTCTAAAATTATTAAAATACTTGTTTCATTAAAGGTTGATATGAATAAAGTAAAGCTAGATACTATCAAACCTTGGATTGGTAAAAGAATAACAGAATTGCTAGGAATGGAAGATGATGTTGTAGAAGAATTTGTGAACAATCAGCTTGAAGCAGATACTGTATGTAAAATATACTCTATATTTTACTTACGTTATTTTAATATTTCCAATTTTTAGTGGCCTGATCCGAGAAAAATGCAAATAAATCTTACTGGTTTTTTGAACGGCAAAAATGCTCGAGTGTTTATGACAGACTTGTGGGAGTTACTTTTATCTGCACAGGAATCTCCATCAGGCATTCCCCCTAAATTTATTGAGCAAAAAAAAGAAGAGTTAAAAAAGAAAATGGTAATATTATTATAGTTATTGATTGTGTTTATTGTTTTGTTAATTTTGTTTGTAAAAAAATATGTTCATATATCTTCTATTTAATTTATAGTAACAGCAGTTGTAATATTTTATTATTTGCATGAATTAATTAAAACGGCGATTTTCAATTTTTTTTTTTTTTCATTAATAGTTTTAGTATAAAGTATTTAAATTCATTAAATCAACAAATAATTTACAATATTATATGATAAAATTGATTTTGAGTAAACCTTCTCATGAAACACAGTTTGAGAACCTTTTTCATATAGTATTCAATAAATAATAATATAAATGATTATTGGTGTCAGACAATCATAATATCTACATTTTTTTATTTATTAATTAATTTTACTCTTAGAGTTTTTTTAAGTTTTAAAGTATTATTGAAGTTTAAAGTACTGATATTGCAATTATTTATTACAGGAAGATCAAGAGCGAGTGGGAGATATGATTAAAAAGTTTGAAAAAGACAAAGAAGACAGAGAAAAGGAAAGAAAAAAAGATAGAGAAAGGTAATATTTTCCATAAAATTTGATATAGTAAAATTATTGTTTTTTCTATTTTCTCAAACATAATTTATATTTTTAACATGTCATGACAGTCTTATAGTATATCTCGTAGAGCATTATCAACTCAGTTTATGATTTACTTATTAAAATGTTGCAAACATTAATTTAAACTACCATATTTTGTGTAGAGCAAATATCTTCTTATTTAAAATTTGTGGTTATTACTTTTTTTTGTATTAAAGAACTTAAGATTCTGAACAGAGCTATGAATTTATTGATTCAACAATGATCTTTGTGATCATGTATGCATGTTTTATAGTAAAAAAAGAATACTTCAACCTTCAATTTTTAGTGGATGATTTCTGATAGTATATTAAATGTAATGGGTACTTTGGGAGGTAAGCATAGAAAATTTCCAGCACTTTTTAAACTATCTTAAAAAAAAATTTTAAAAAATGTGTGTATATAATAAATAAAAATCAGATTTATTTTTTTATTGCAATTCAAAAACATTTAAATAACCATAGGTTTTGACAATTTAAATCTTAAATACCTATATTATTTTTTTTATTATTCATGTACATGTTTTTAAAATATTTAAACTTAACTTAAAATGTATTGCCTATTTACTTAATTAACCTATTCACACCATTATACAGTAAGTCTGTATTGATTCCAAAGTTTTTAATAATATATAGTATATAATAATAATAACTACTATTATAAATGCCACTTTTTTGGTTAAAATCAGTTCAATTTACTGTCATAGTAGTAGCAATATAAATATATAAAAAATCATGCTTTAAAACATTTTATCATACACTGTTTTTTTTCTTTATATACCATACTCATGATAAAATTGTTATTTACTCTTTGCTGTATTTCTGTATCAATACTTTTTATAATTTTAGTGGTGCAGTGATACTCCCAATTTACTTTTATCTCTGTTTCATCATACCTCA